TATATTTTGCATATTTTGGGAGTAAAAAGTGAACAATTTTCCTTACGAATAACATTAAAAATAATACAGGGGCATAGTGTGGACGCAGTGTGCCACGCGGCATCTGAGGTTAAGCTGTGTCCGTTACTGCTTGATCCAGGATGGGTGATCACTCGGGAAAATTTTCATTATTAAAAAAAAAATAGAAATAAATCTTGGCCCATTCCCGTTATTAGACGAAAAGATTTTATTTAAGTCTCTGATTTTATGATAAAAATTTCAGAAATTTAAAACTGGTCGAAATCCATTTTTTTTAAATTAACATAAGAAACCTCTATTTTTAAGGCAAAAATTTGTGATAAAAATTAAAAAGAAACTAGAAATCTTTTACTAGACCAAAAGAAGTTTAAAAAAAAAAAATTTTTAAAAATTTGAGGAGGTCAGGCCGATGACCGCGTGGTTTGACTCAGAATGTCCCATATATATTTAAGAAAAATGTCCAGCCCTCCCCACCCCCCCGAGTTAAAAATTTAAATTGGGTCTATGACGCTAGAGTGACTAAGTGTACTGTTATATGTTACATGTATTAGAATATTTGCTTCATATACGACAAATGGCTATTAGTAACATTCATTTAGTGAAATTAACTTTTAATTATTATATATTTGATGTTTTATAAAAATTAAATATTAAACACTACTCTCAGAGTCTCAGGACTTATGTTGTTCATTACTTAACAAAAGAATACTCACATGTTATAAATTTTATTATTAAAATGTTGAATTGCCTAGAAACGACATTTTAACAAAAACAATCATAATACAGTGATAACGAAACTAATGTTTTACGCTGTAGATGCTTTCTGATAAACGTTGATCTATATTTATAGAACGAAAATTTTACGTACAATACCATTATGCAGTGTTCCATGAACCCACAGGTATGTATTAACTGTTTTTCAAGTAAATACATAATATATTATAGAATATCTTTACTAAGTGAGTGGTTTCCAACAATTTTCAAAAATGTATATGCATGGGCTCCCGGTGGTGGGGGCAAGACAGGGCATTTGCCCGCCCACTGGATGTCAAATATTATTTTGAAAATGTTAACTTTTATTATTGTTTAAATAAACTTTTAATCGATATTTTGACTTTATTATAGATTTATAAATATAAAATTGATAAAGAAAAATAAAAGTTGTCTATAACGATATACTGTAGAGAGGTTTAAAATGTAAGCCCAAAAAAACGAAATTTCATTATGACCCTTCCTGATAAATTTCCTGCGGGTGTTCATGTGTATGTGTACCAACTGATATATATATAAACTGTATACAAACTTTAAGAATCTTTGATAAATGCTTGGTATAATCTTTGAATGTGAACTTGTGATAAATTCTAGGAAACTCATGAGGCATGTGTACCTACAAATTAGTTCACTTATTAAACTGATTGGCATTATATAAATTAAATTGAAAAAATGATCAGTTTTTTTCTTATTATATTATTAGCTCTGTAAACTTCAATGATTGATTTATTTCTAAATCTTCTGATAATTTTCTATGCTGTTTAATGATCAATTAAAGAACATATTTTATTTTTATATGTAAACAGTAGTCAGTAACTCTTTTGTATTTTGTTTTATTAAACTTTTTTTTATAATAACCCAGCAGCCAACGGTTTAAATTTAGTAAAATATAATCTATAGATTTAAATTACTTTTTAATTAATTTAACTGATTAATAATTAAATAATATCCTTTGTTTTTGCTTATAATTGCTTTAGAAGTTGTTTAAAAATTTCAAAAATAAGATTTTTACTATTCATTTGGTAATCTTTAAATGACTGTGTAAGTAAGCCTTGTAAATTTATAACTTTAAGCCTTTTTGATCGGGAGGAGACAGTGTATCTTTTAGTTTTAGGCTTCGATTTCGGCGGAAAGTTTGTACCCTTTTTTTCTCGAAAAGTCTCCTAATTCCTATACTCAAATATTTGGTAATAACTTGAAATTGAATAATTAGAATGTGCACTTTTAACACACATTTTTTATTGCACTTTCTCAAAAGTGTTTGGCAACCATTTTTTTAACCGCCAAACACCCCAGTAAGTATTAGCATGTTGTGATGTTTAAAGCCTCTCGTTAATTTTGCCGTCAGAATGTACAGGAACACGGGCCGCAATATGGGGTCATGAATGTGTTGATGCTGATGAGAGACGACCTGAACAGATATGTGTTCAAACTTTCCGGTCAATCGGCCGAGCAGATCAACTTCTTGCACGTGTTGTCCGCCCTCTTCGCCGTGGTCGCGGTCACGGTACATCAGGTTTTCGGATTGATCACTGGCGTCGTACCACTTGTAGCAATGTTCACGCACTTAGCACAGTTCGTTTTGGATCGCAGTCTTGACATTGCCAGCACCATGCACGTGCGAGACTTTGGGTCCAAATCGCTGGTGTTCGCTTTTCAAATTTGTTTGCTCGTCACCGTCTTTTGGCTACTGTTTGTCGTCTACATGCCCACGCTGAAGCTCGAAGTCGCCATTCTCACGTGGGTCGCCAACGCGCTCCGACTTAATCTCTAACTGATCGGCACGATCACCGTTTAAAAATTGCTAAATATCCGTACTTAACGCTACCCTTCTAAGTGTTGTGCACATCGTTTTATAATATTACATGCTTGTGACGTGTGGAGAATTAAATCAGTATTTTACTTGGACGTTTACGAGCGTCAATGTAACAAAACGTTAAGAGCTATCAGAAGTATCGGCCATACCGAGCTAATTGCTAGACGACTGCCGTTTTGCAGCAAATTAACAGCTGCACTCTGTTAAAAAAACAATCGTTATTTTATATATATAATATCATTACAACAGCGCCCTCTATAATTGCTGGCAAACGACGCATACATCGAACAAGTAGTAGAAAATCCACCGCTAGATTGCAGTACTTTTATGCAACCATGATCAAACCCGGACAGTATAGAGTCTTGCGTCTTGCGTTGAAAGCAAAGCAAAAATTAACGTCTCGAAAAGAAATCATGTTTACAATAATTCATATTGCATAGTCATTTTTCCTCCCACGAAAATCCCAACTCGCCTCTTATTCTGCAATCAAACCGTGTTGAAGCAAAAAGGCGAAATCGAGAATTAGTGTTTTAATACGATTTATGCCCTGCGTGGAAAGACCGTTTATGAGTTATAAGATCCCTTTGGATCTAGCACACTGCTGGACGGAGTACCTGAAACAAGTTTTTGCCGTCGATACGTTAGACCGGGTTAGAGTATCATCGTAACAAATTTTACCTGTTTATTACCTTTCAAAAAATATATTTTAAGCTAACAAAGTCGTGATACAGAAATGTATTTCTGCGCTTTACAGTTTATTCCCTACGAATATTTTGCAACCCTATTCTACATATTTTTTTACTTTCGTCTTAAATCTCTTTGTCTACTCCGAACATGTAAAGACATTTGTGCTTTTACGTAAATAACACCAATCCTTTTCAGCATCGATTCACCGATCTACATAAATCGCAAACTGGCTAAATCTTACTGTAATATCTCTTACCAGTTTTATTATTTCTTATCCCTCATTTTGTGGCTGCACTCATACAGATGTACACATGTTCTTGTTTTGTCACACAAAACACCCGTTGCCTCTTACCATTTCCACTATTTCATTCTATCCATCATCCTCTTTATTCTCGCCCGTTACTGATACTAAACACAAAATACTTAAATTTGTACCTCCACATCTAAACGTGAAATCATATTATATTATGTCATCTAGATGACTACGTAATTGTCATTGTTTTACACTTGTAAAGTCTATGGCCTTTGAAGACTTTGAACACAAAGGTTGAAGATGGAATTTGGATGTTTTAAATTAAAAGAATACTTTCAATAACAAAGATATGGTAAGCTATGTATTTTCACAAGCATAAATTCAATACACAAACAGTATAACGAGTGTCTTGTTGCAGGTATGTTGAGCAATACACAGCCAGGACACTCTGCCTCTGCCCTGCAAATCGGCTGGTATTTACGCAAAATTGCCATCCGGGTGAAATGGAAGGAGTCATTGGCATCCCCGCATTGGTGACCTTTTTCAAGTTGTGCAATCGTTAATCCTTGAGTCCGGGTCGTTGGTGAATTGGCAAGCTGTCCACTGTAATTCGCGGAACATTGTCGGATACATATAATTTATACAATATTTAATGTGTTTATTTGCGCATTTTCGCAATATCCAGTTGTACAAAGTATACGGTTTCTTAGTATTTGCATAAATAAATTGAATTTATAATTTACATTTATAGTGTTGTTAACCTTTTGGTTACATACAAAGTAGAGAAAAACCCATTTAGGTTGTACATAAAATATTATTAATATTCAAGGAGAAATCGGCTTAAGTGCAAATCTTAGCTAATTTTAGCAAGTCATAACACACTTCTTAGTATATATACTTGTATTTTTTCCTTTATTCTGCGGTAGTAAAAAGATAAATTAATAAGAAATCTATTTTAATTGCAAAAGGTAAGTTTTCTTGCTTTTTGATCTAACTGTCATACTTGCCTCCTACGCCCTATTGGCTATTGGATATTCCAACATATTATCTATATTGTGTCCATATGTTTGACTGATAAGATATAGACAGGGAATGAGTTGTGGACGGCGCCGTGCCGTCCACAAGCTGTTAGTAGGCCAATGAATAATCAATAATAGAAACAATAACAATAATGGCGGTTTTTTAATTTCCACGTACACATGTAGTTTTATGTGAAGAGTTAAAAAAATGTATTTACAGTAAACAGGTAATTGGATTTGGTTGTCAATCACATTTTAGACAGACTTATTTTTAAGTCATCATATATCATAAGCTCATTGTTACAACACACTTTGTACTTTATTCCATGACAACCGGCGTGCCAGCCAACTACGGTTTTCACCGTTAACAGCAGCAGCAGCAGCAGCAGCAACAGCGCATGGCTTTTTACATCCCTACACGGTGCACCCTTGGACCTTTGTTTGTAGCATTATTGATATTTGTCGTCCGCGGTCTGTGCTTATTACTGCGTCTGTTTCTGCCTGTTGTTTTTGCCTCGTTGAAGTTCACGATGGACGGTGCAACTCCAATTTTAGATTCACATTCCGGTAGGTAACAAATATATATCTACTAATATCTTAACAAGACTCCTAGTTAAGTACACCTACTGTACCTACTCTAGATTATTTACAATGTTCATTATTTATGACTAGATGGCGAACCAAAAGAAAGCAATCACATCGCTGAGCAAGAGCACAACGACGAAAAGAAGCAAACTCCAGAACCGCATTGTTCTAAGTATAATATTTAATCACTGTAAAAATAATATAACTAAGTTGTTACCCTACTTAAAGGGGTAGTAGGGGAATTCGCCATTCTCGTGATATTCCAATATTCGTGATATACCAAGTACCCGTTATTTGGCTTTTTTAAGTCCTTAATTTCAAAATAAAATTGCTAATAGCATCATTATTAAAAAAACCGAAATAATCAAAACTATAATTTTTACTTTACACTTCCGAAAATTGACAAGAAAATCCCTAATAACATTTTCAAAAATATATAATATTAAATAAGACGAGGCATAATGGGACTCACCATACTAGGGTGGGGAGGTCACAAGAGTTATTATAACTGAAAGTAAAAAAAATCACTTTAATAAATGTTTCGCGATTTTGTAGACGGTAGAAATACAAAAATCGATAAAAGCATCGTAAAATCTACAATTTGCTTAAAAATTGAAATAATCATTTAATAGTTTGATTGTGTAATTATGTATACTGTTTTAGCGTTAAAGATTGTAAACTTGACCAAGAAGTATCTATGCTAACTGAGACCAGCAAACAAATAGGAGCCATCTCAAAAGAGATTCAGAACCAATCCCCTGATGTTGAAGTTTTCAGTAAGTTAACGTCCTGTAAACGTTTCAAAGACATCTATAATGTCAAATTACACACTTGATAAGTTAGTAGAATTTTATATGGGTTAGCATTAATTACCACAAAAAGTCATTGCTACAATATACGGCATTACTCTGAATACAAAAATCCATAAAAATGTATATTATATACGACTTAAACATAATTTTTTTTTAAATTTCATAGTAGGCATTTTTTTAATCAGATTTACAAACAAATATTTTCTTAAATTTACATATTTTATATTAATAATACTTAATTACTTCTAAAAATATATACTAGTTTCCAAACTACTTTCCCGGCCCCATTATATTATTGTATCAATATACATGGATCATGGCATTTTTATAATTTTATATCTGCTATATTAAAATATTAGCTTTACCCAGTACACACTAATTGTGCTTTTGCCTTAATCAAAGCGTTCGATAAATACTTATTTGTGTAGATGTAATACGCATGACATAATATTATATAACCTACTTTTAAATTATAAACAAAAATGTGCCTATTGTTACATTTCGGTGAAATAGAAAAGTAATTATGACGTAGATAATATGACCACAAGCAAATTAAAATCTATGTATTTTTATGCTATAAAATATAGATTTCATAAAAAACGAACATGATTATTCAAAAAGAAGAATTACAAGAAAATCTGCAGCTAATCAGCTTAAGTAAGTGTTACGGCAAACAAAATACGTAATTTAATTTATGTGTAAATTTGTTCCCATTTCATACTTAAACCCCTAATAAGCATTGGAATTACTAGGGTACCCTACCTAAGTTTCAATTTAACTAGTCGTTCTATAATTTAATTGTTAAATAATTATATTGTTAAAGCGGTCAAACAAGAGATGATGGAAATGCGCTAAGCCAAAAAGTGGAGTTCATCTTGGCTGAAATTCGGAAGCAAAGTTCTATAGGTAATTTCGTCTGTGGGACTCTGTTGGGATTTCATGTGAAGTTGAACTAAATCAAACGATTTTTAAGGGCTGAAAAATATTTCTATTTTGTCAGAACAATACAGACGATCACGATGTCATTCGCCAACAGTGTGCACGGTAAAGTTTTCGAGTAGTCACGGACAATTTCCGTCAAGAAAATTTTACGACATTAATGGCAAATTAATGTTCGCGGATGGCCAAAATTTTACTTACATCCAAACAAGTACGACATCGAATAATAGGTGAGCAAGTACCCCAGAATTATCAGATAAATACGGTCACCGCGATTATTTATATTTTAAGTAACGATACAATTATCAATTTTAGGAAATTACGTTGTTCAAAGAACAATCTAGGCTGTAGGTCGACAGCCACCATGCCGCTGATACCGGAAAACAGTCCCATTATCGTCCATCACCAGCATTGTCATGGGCCGGGAAACGACATAGAAATAGCTCTATTTTTGGAGGTATTAAGAGAAGCTCCTTCCAAAGACAATTCACCGTTAAAAGACATTTACGATAATGCGTGCAGGAGGTATGGTGTTACCTAGTTCGTAGATATTTTTCTGTTGAAATTAGTCAACTTATTGGCGGCCAAGTTTATTACACAGGCCAACATAAACCAGTCATCTACCAGCTACATAGCAGCATAAAATAATTTGTCTGGATTTTTTTTTTCTAGATTTCCTAACGCTGCAATCGAAATTCCCAGGTGCAAAGCTTTCGATATAATGCGACTCGTTCGCAGCAAACGTAATCCGCCTGTACCGGAGAACTTAAAAAGAATGGCGGAAACCATAGTGTCAGAGGTTTGGGGATTGCGCCTTTTGAACACTACCGATGACGATAACGACGTGCCGTTTTTTCGAAGTACTTTGGAATATGTGGAAAACGAAACGGTCATCACCGGTGGACTAGTGTTTTCCAATGTAGAGTTTCTCCTAAAGAACAAGCATCATTTAATTAAAGCGAACACCCTCGTCGTGGACTCGTCGTTGGGCGTCGTCCCTCTTTCTCCGTCCGATGTCGACCAACTAGTGACCATACACGCGGTATTGAATAAATTTGTAAGTTCACACTTGAACACATGTATCTACCCACAGGACGACCGTTAGGTTTGGAAATTCAACTCACTTGAACATGTTTCCACTATCCGAACTAATTGAAGTAACGAACACCGGATGGTCAAGTCGTTTTCCCACAATTATAGTTATTATTCCTATAGTATGATAGCTGGTTTACTAGTCTCTGTGTTCGTGTGAATTACATACAAAAAGTATACAAAGTTAATAAATGGCGTTAGCGAGTACACGACTTTCGTTAAGAGAACATGTCGTATTTTTAATCCGCCCTTTCTAAAAAGTGTTTCGAGTATAAAAAATAGTTACACCTACAAAAACATTTACTTATTACCGTAACTTAGGTTTGGTGACAAATCCTATATGCAATTGAATCGGTCATTTCAAAAACAACATAAACCTTTTTTAAAAGGACTGTAAAATTTAATGATTTATGTCGTTTTTGAGATGACCAATTCAATTTTTGATTAGTTATTTTTTTATGAATATTTTTAAAAATAATATGATTTTTTTAGCACGATTATAAATTATAATATTATTTGATAGTTTTATCAGCTGTAACTAAAACGGCCGGTAAATGTGGGTATTATTACTTAACGGTTGCTCTTAAAGTCTTAAATATTTAGAGTGAATCCCAACATTAGATCAGGCTTAAGCCGGTGCACTGACTTTAGTATACAAGAAGTCTGTATTTTTTTTCCCTCGTTACTACAATATTATAACATTAACTTTATATTTGCATTATATTGACAACCAATCGAAATAATACAACTGTGTACGATTAATTTTCAGTGTGTTCCTGTGGCTTATGCAATTCTCAACGGTAAAACGGAAGGCGTTTATTTACGACTTTTGGAATACCTTCGTAAAGAATTACTAGTCAACTTATTCGACTGGAAAAAAATAAAAATAATTTCGAATTTCGAAACAACTTTAAGAAGTTCGATAAAAAAAGTAATTCCTAAGTGCAAAGTGGTAGGATGTTGGTTTTACTTTAATCAGGTGAGTATCAAATATTTGCTAAAGTAATCATAACTAATATCCCTTAGGATTTTCCCAAACCCACTCTCCATAATATAAGATAAAAGGCTGTTCGGTCCTTATGGTAACAAAATGAGGATGTGAATTCTCTACTTAAACTAGCTATTATAGATAGGACACCTTATACGATAATCCCATTAAGCGACTTACGGAAAATCTGAAAATTCTTAAAATTAATTTTTAACTTAATAATAATTTTATATTTTTTTTTTCTAGAGTATAATAGGATTCGTACAAAAAAATGATATGGTGCCATTGATCCATAGTGATTACAGATATGCTACAATTTTGCGATTGGTGAATTTCGTTTAATTTATTATCTACGGACAGAGCTGGACAAAACCCATTTATTAACCTAAAAATTATATTTTAATCAGTTTAAATTTGGGATTTTCAAAATCGCTTTTTTTGGAGATTTTACCAAGCTCTGCCTACTAAACAGTTAATACTAGTCGAATGATAAACATTGATCGTGTACCGTTTCGTATTGCTTACAGATTGTAGCCCTGCCACTTCTCCCACCGAAAGTCGTTGCCAAGTTTCCAAAGGACTTTCACATTGTTGGAGCTTTTGAAGCCATACAGAAGATGGCCTGTAGACTGAAAATGAATCAGTTTCATAAACTATTCGAATTCGTTCAATTTTTTTGGATAGGATTGGTGGGACCAGCGGCCTTTACAGTACACAGTCAAGATATCCGGGTCAACAATTTCATCGAAAGTTTTCACAGTTCTCTGAGAAGCCTAATTGGCGTTCACCCTCCGGTCTGGAAATTTTATGGTATTTTTTTCACATCCGAAATTCACATACTAAACAGTTTTGCTTAAACATGCATACTACAACGACAAATTTCTATTTTCTTCGACGATTTTAACCGTAACCGTTAATCGCAGTGTGCACTTTATCTGTTTCTTACAGATAGATTACGTTTAGTCGAATACAGAGTTCGTAAAGAAGCATCACAGTTGATGAACGGTCGAAGGGTGAGATTTTACAACAAAAAAAAAAACGCTTAATGCTTTCAATTCAATGCATCATAGCCTTGAGCTGAGGTTTAATTAAAACACATACTTTGTACTGTCAGGTCGAATCGTCAATTGTTCTTAGCCGTGGAGACACATGCAATTCCCATCTGGCTACTGCACTTGAAAACATCAGAAACGGAAAGACCGACACTCTAGACTACCTTAAAAGAGCTTCGTATTACACTAAAAATTACATACACCAACATATCGGCATGGTACCGTACGGTGAGTGTTTTTTCAGCTGTCAACTGTTCAATTTAACTCCAAATTAGTTGTCTATCCTTCTAACCTGCGTGTCCCTCTAAGTCGCTAATCATAGATAACATTTTAGTTTAACTTTGAGAATGATTTGTTTCCCCTTACGCTCCTAACACACGTGTATACCTTAATATAGGTCATAGGTTAAGTTCCAGAGTACTTTTTGCTCTCACACGAATCATTCATTCTGGCAGGTTTGTCTCTGCGGACTGCCCTAGGTCAGATGTTGAGTCCAAAACGTTTATACTTATTGAATTTCAGATGACCTGGCCATCGATCAACTGACAATCCCGGTAAAGATCCGATCGCGATTAACACCAAATCCTCAAGCTATGGCCGTCGATGATCAAACGGAAGACAGTGCATCGCTTTGCCATAGTGAAATGACATTTGACGATTTGCCGAGAAGAGAGCGACGGCGCAAAAAACCTCAACCTGCTTCCCATAAAAAATAACAAGCTATACTACTTTGGGTCGTTTTTTTTTTTTAATCCTTTCGAAATTAATTTAGGTTTATATAATAATTATTGGTCGTTACTAGAGCTAATATTATATTCTACATAGCCTTAAATGGCACAAATTCGGGGGTGCGAGTACATCCTCTCGCGTTACCTAACATTTTGACGGAGTTGCAATAGCACAATTTTGCAATCCTTGAAAATTGACCACGATAGTACAAATTACATAGAGTATACCTTTGACAGATAAAGTTAGCATAATATTATATTAGAAAATAAACTAACTATTTATATTAATATAACTATTAACAGATATTAATTTACCTAAACGTATAACTACTATTATTCGTACTTATATATCTATTATGTAACTTTACATGCGAAAACCATAAAAAATATACGTATAATAGAAAAATAGTAACCTGTAATATTATTATGTTTTTTTTTTCAACTAGCTATTAAGAAACAAGGTTAGGAAATACTAAACTATCTATACCAAACCATAAACTATAGATATCATAATTTATGGTCGTATAACTAGTCAATATGGCATAATAGGTTAATTGTTATTGACTAGTTAAACTACCTAGTTGAAGTTTAGTTAATTTGAAAATATGTCGACTTAGTTACACTATAAAAATAGTTTTAAAACAAAATTAGGTATTTGCTAAGTTAAAAACTATTTGCAAAGAATATAAACTAATAATAATTATTATTTATTTAGTTTTCATTTATAAGGAAAAATCCAAAATTGTATAAAAAAAAATAACATTTTAGTTTACTGAAAATATTTAATTAAATTTAAAATTTGCGATGCTCAATCAAATTAGAAAAAGACAAGAAAAAATGTGTTTGTGAGAATCTAAGTTACATATTCCCTGTAAAACTGTTTCTCTGAGTAATTTATACCTCCTGGATTATAAAAATATTGCTTAATAACATTTCGGAGTAACCACTAACCTTGTTTATTTTACAGTATCTTCATCGTTAAGTTATAATATTATGTAATAGAAAATTTTAATAATAAATGTAATTATATGTATGGTCTTTAATACTTATTAATCGTATGTATGTATACTAAGATATTCAACTGTATCCAATATTTAACTTGTACTTTCAAACCTTTTAATAAATTACTATGCTACCTTACAAGAATGTTGTTACTTTTATATTCGTTAAACACCAAAATTATTATCCGATAAAAGTATTTAAGCTTGACTTTAGAATTCAAGAGTATTTTGTTAAAATAGATAACATAAAAATGTAGAATACTAGCAAAGATTTAATAATCATCAATATTTTCTTATTATTTGTTTAGATTTTATAATAACATAACATTAACTTTTAGGTTTGTTGGAACATGGCTAATAAAATAAATAATTAAGTTATTTAGTCATATTTGCATCGTTGTATGCAATCAATATTGATTTCAATTATTTTTGTTATCATTACGGTGTTTATCCAATCTGTATGTTTTGGGAACACCCTTAATTTACCAGCTATTGTAAGGTTTCTAATTTTGCTCGATTTGATTAGGTATAACATACAGTAAAATATTAACAAATTTGCAAGCACATAGTTACATTGTAGCCATCGACAAGAAGCTTCGATAGTTAGTTTTTGACAATTGCAGTCATCACAGAAACTGAGATATAAATAAGTAGTTAAAGAATTCTAACAGCTAGCGCCAATAAAAGCAACTACTATAATTTTTTGGTATAATATATAATTTTATTTATTAAAATGTATACTATACACATTTCGAGACATTTCGCTGTTGTCGAGTGAAATGCTCGTCTTTATATAAATCAGTTACGATACAAGGTAATAATAATAAATATATATATTTTTGATTATCTATATTTTAAACACAAATTATATGTTGATGTATGGTCGCTTAATACAAAATCGTTTTACAATTATTTTTTACTTTTGTATACATTTTATTTTTTTTTGTAAATAATATAAAATATGTGTTAACAAAATAAAAAACAACAAAGATTATTCGATAATCTTTAAGGAGCAGTCCTAATATTAAATATAATAATAATAATAATAATATAATATTAACATCACAAATAAAATTTTACTAGTCTTTTTTACTGAATAAAAATTTTAATTAATAATACGTTACGCTTAGGTATTTGGTAACAAAATATAATATTTATAAAAAAAAATTAAGGAACATAACTAACACGCAAAAAAATTTGTTTTAATAGATAAAGAGGAAATGATAAAAAAAACATTAAAATTATAAACACTACGATAATATTAATAATAAAAATTATTGAAAGTATAAAATTTTAACTTAACAGAGAGTGTAAATCGAAATAATAGTATAATAAACTAATAACTAGTATAGTAAACGATAAATAATTCTAAAACGTTATTAATTAATTTAATAAGCTATAATAATTGTATGTGATATTTTATAAATAGTGTATTTATATTATATTTAATATTGATATACATTAGGTTTCAAGATAAGTATTGGAATAATACATATATATATGCCTATTAAGACATAATAATTTGATAATATTTTGTCAGTTAATATATTCTATACACAAGTAAAAATAATAAATGTGTATAGGTCTGGTTTTTTTTTAGTTAGGTATTATAAAATTTTAAAAATAAATAAAAGTTCTTTTAGTCTTCATTGGTCGTATCTTTAAGTAGATTTTCTTGTTCCGGCTGAGGAATTCTAAATAACAAGAAAAAGTAATTATGAATCATGAAAAAAATAACAATATTAATAATAACTATTATAAATTAGATATCCTTTAGCTGCTAAATGTGTCTTACATTCATTATTTAAAATATATAACTTGTTAAATGTTAAATTCAAGCACAGTAAATAAATAAATAATTTATATAAACGATGATTAAGTTAACAAAAAATGTTATTTGAATAAAAAATATACAAATGTTCAATGTACCAACAATGTTCAACGTATCATTTTTTAGCGTTCAGTTCAGAAGAATAGTTTTTGTGTGTGTAATTATATAACGTTCAAATGCACGTGTAACTGTTGTACGAATATTTATATTACGATATGTTCGAATCGTTATTAAGAGGGCGTCGCACCGCCTATTTTTAAGGAGTAAAGTATAGGCAATTTTTCACAAAATCTTAATTTAAAGGTTTAACTGTGATGTGTAATTATTAGTTCAATAACTAGGACTAATTTATTTTTCGGACTATCACAGCATCCTTGAAAGAGATTTCAAAAAAGAAATTTCAAAAAAAATTTCATCTCTACATGTTTAAGCAGACTGAAAATAACTCGCTTAATTTTGGTTTTAGAGTAAAAGCACCCATTATAAAATTAAAAGAGAACAATATTCCGGAGGGCAAGACGGTGCGTTTGTTTCATTATTCCAAGTTTAACGCTCAATACATAGTTTAGAAATAACGACTATTTTAACATTTTTAAATGTTAAAAAAAAAAAAAATTTTTTTTAACGCACCATCTTACCCTCCGGAAAATTGTTTTCTTTTAATTTTATAATGGGTGCTTTTACTCTAAAATTAAAATTAAGCGAGTTATTTTCAGTCTACTTAAACATGTTTTTACCATTGAAAATCACCGGTGCGATGCCCTCTTAACTAGTGAACTGAATGTTTTTTTATTTTAACCGTTCATGTTTGTAACATTACGGAACCCTATTATTAATAACAGGACGAAAGGATCTTACTTGTTTGACTCCATTTCATGTCTTTGGTTAATACTCATGTTTAACTCTCCTTTATCCAAAGTATCAGACAACCATAAAACAGCAGACAACAGCAAAGCGACTAGAAAATAAATGATAAGTATTCATGTTATTCGTCACCATTGATAACTACAGATAGCTATCGTATCAAATTTATTACCAGTCAACAAAAAGCAGAAAAACAATTCTACCATGTAGTAGCCGTCAGCGTCTACTATAATACCTGTCAGTAAAGCAACGGTTCCGAGTCCGAGGTTTTCTACTGCTTGAGCGCTGTAACATGTCAAAAGTATTTTTGTAAGTCCAATAACTCTATCCTTGAGAAAATACGATTAAGGAGGCCGCAGCATGGTTTTTACATAAAAATATTAAGTATAGATATCAAAAAAAAAAAAACGCCACCCCATTGATAAAGTTTTTCTCTAGACTTTGTGAGAAGAAACCTAGAAAATTTGTCGACATATCAATACATATTTAAAAAATTAAAATCCAACATTGGGAAGTATGTCTAATTGAGCACCGCTTATTGGTCTAAAACGCAAGAAAACTAGTTATGCTCAAACCCCCTTAAGGGGTAGATTTACCAAATTCTCACAATGTATAGACAAAACTTTACCAATGGGGTGGCGTTTTTATTTTTATGATATCTATACTTAATTTTTTTTTTGTATAAACCATGCTGCAGTCCTCTTAATAGTCATATTTCTTGTCAACACCGTTTGAACATTACTCACATGCCGTACGCTGTTCCCATCTGATATTCAGGTACAACCATTGCGATCAACGGCCATAAAGCACTAGCCAACATTGAATACGATGTTCCCATAGTCAACTAAAGTACAGATTACAGTATGGAGTTTTAAAAAATATAAATAAATTACGGTAGGTAGAAGTTTGTTGAAAACCATCACTCACCATCGCCACATATGGATTAATGAAAGTAAATGTCAAAAGCATATGAGCTACTAGTGTTCCTAGTACTGATATGAATACCCAAAATACATTTCGTCCAGTTTTGTCGATCACAAAGCCGAACAGAGGCGCGAGAAAGGCGCCTAAACTGTAGATCAATCCGTTGATGATGTTAGCTTCACCAGGAGAATAGTTATATTTTTTCTCAAAAAATACCCTAGGAAAAAAAAATGAATTACCAACACATAATTGAGGTAAATATAAAACAACGCTGAATAAATCATTAAATTAAAACAAACCCCAAGTCTTAAAAAATACATATGAATGTAATATAGTATAATATATTTATCATCGAGTCACATTAAATAATTAGGTTGCAATCTTACTTTCCAAGAGCCACAAATGGAAATATGGACGCATAATAACAAACAATTATAAACGATATGAGCCAAAACGATTTGGTAAAATGTTTGACGTCTGTCAATTTAACAACTTCACCGGACTCGGGTAATTTTCGGTGAAGCAATTTTTCCGCTCGTTTGTCTTGCCAAGCGAGCAGCAATCCGCTTACCAACGAAATGACACAAGTCAAACTCGCTGTACGAACATAATAAACAGAAGCCGTTGTAAAAATTACACAACATAATAATATATTATCTCTGATCTCATTATACAATTATAATTGTGAAATTTGATCAATTTACCTATAAGTAACACTATGGACATGGACACATTATCAGGACCCTGATAAACTGTCTTGACATACTTGTACAGCGGCTCCATAACAAGGAAATTCACTGTCGATCCCACCCTTGCAAAACTCAGTTGAAATCCAAACACCATATTAAGTTCCTTTCCTTTGAACCACAACACGGCATAATTATTTTGCGCAACTGCCAAAGATTCACCGCCAGTTCTATAAAAGTAAGTGAAAAATGTAAATTGCAATGAACAAATTATTAGTCATACTAATAATTAAAAAAATTATTAATTATAAATTATAAAAATTATAATCACTACAATATTAATAAAAATAAAATAAAAACTAGTTAAAATAAGCATGTTAAAACCAAACTATACGTTTTATAACTTTACAAGTCTGAAACGAGTACACTTTCCCTTATTTTAGATTTACATTGTTGCATAAGTAAATTGTTGGTTGATAAGGAAATTTAATATTGAATGTATAGTGAAGTAGTTTAATCTAAATAATAAGTCTGACAAATTTATCCCAATACATTTAAGTATTTTACAAATGATAAATAACATGATCTTGGTTAATAAAGTTAGCATACAAATTGAATAGAAATTTGCTATAATGAAACTATGTATATTTTTATAAGTTTTTTACAGTATCAAAAAAATAGTTCAACTATTTATTAACATTTGACTCAAGATTTATAACTAAAATTCTGTTTTATAAACTGTTCTTATATTAAAATACATTTTTTGTTTTAACCAGTTCATAGTCAAACAATTTTTTGTTACTGATGAAAAACTTTGAAAAATACTATGTATACATTGATATTTCATATTATAATAACTTTATTAGAATTTAAATGTATATTTATAAAATTTTACCCAAATATAAGACGGCCTAGAAGCATCAGCCAAAGTGTATTGAAATACGCACCAGCCGCAAACACTATTTGGCCGATCACGACCAATAAAGCGTAAATTATGGTACCTAAACGAAGTCCAAAAACCCTAAAAATGAAATACATAATTAGCAGCAGTAAAACAATTTAATTGACTTCCTGCACACTAATCAAACTTCAAACCTGTCAATTAAAAATCCACCGACAATACACAGAATAACGTTTGGCCAAGCGTACCAAGAATATAGATACACAAACTGCGATGTAGTTAGGTTCATGTCTTTTAAGAAATTGTCTTGTAATGCTCCAGGGTTGTCATAACAAAAATATGAACCTAAAATAAGAATTTTTTTCTCATTAATTTGTATATATCTAAATACATAAACATGTAATTATACATATCCTATAGGTATTAACATCAATGTAGTTATTGTAGTGCGTTAGGCTTACCGAATCCTATTATGCACATAAAAAATAATGCCAAAAGTCGCTGTAGTAAATGACTTGGGTGTTTCCATGTTATTATGTCTTCTTCAATATGATGATACTTGACAGACCCAGACGCCACAGGCTGCTCATCTTCCATTGTGAAGTGTGTTAAAGAAGTTCTCTGTAACAATTATAAATTGGTTATTTAATATACCCTAACAATGTAAAAGTCCATTAAATGGCGGAGAATGAGCGTTTAATTTATTTTAACTATAAAGAAAAATTGTATTAATGAGATTTATGTCTTTACAATATAAAAAGCAAAAACAATATTAACCGCATAACAAAAAAATATAGAACACCTTGTATAGTTTGGTAAATTAATATTATAGAAAATTAGTACAACCTATTGGCCAGTCAAAACAGATTTTAAGGTTTGAAGAGATAAGCGTGTAGTTATTTTTAAAAATACTTTCTCATTTCTATTCCTACCATATGGTACAGAATAACTATGTAAAGTTTGTCGACGGAAATGTCGTAAAATTTATTAAATAAATAATTGGGAATAGAATTGAAACAATGCTTGAAAGATCACACTGTATTTAATTACTCCTATTCTCAATCGATGTGAGCAAGCATAAAAATATCAAGGCCAATATCATTCAATAGTAACATCAGGAATGCTACACGTGAAGGTAAACACCATTTTCGGCATTGCAAGTAAGAATGTAGGTATAATATTATGGATAACTACAGTAAATATAATTTTATTACAGTAATACACTTAAAATGATAATAGGATATAGACTCGAACGTCATATACTCGTAAGCATAGGAGAATAATGTTTTTAATACCATTTTTCATTATCAATATTGCCTAGGAAAGTAACGAGTAAACGGATTTGTTTCAAATACCTAAAGATTAAATAATAATAAAAAGTACTCGCCTGTTAAAATATCTCCGTAAGTTGTTACTGACATTATCAACGTTTTATTCGGTAATACAATGTCATAATGTAATGAATAAAATTATTAGGCAGCCAAAGTAAGTAGTTTAAGTAGTATAAGTAGTTCGACTTACCTAAGTGTTAATTTTTTTCCTCGCTTTTTAGGAAGTTTCTTCTTTTTTTTTTTAAACAATAATTATTGTAGTCATACTTCGTCGGTGTACTTCGGTTTTCGGTGCTGTACTGTGGCGGCAAAAAACCCGTATGGCAATACAATTGTAAAACTATTATTATTATTTTATAACTATTATATTATTGTTATTTTATTACATAAATACGATCCGTGGTGAGGTAGTATTCGGTGTCAAACCATCGTGTCGCGTCCGAGCTTAAGTGTTTTTTATTGACGAACAATGGTAGCGCAGTGTTGTATTATCAAAGACCGTCACCAGTCATATGTTGGACGATAACATTGTCTACTATCTGTAATAATAATAAAATATGATAAAACAATAATAATAATAAAAAATAAAAAATTTTACCACTTTGCACAATTTGTCACAAGTCACAACCCGTATAAATTTATTATCGTACTGCATACAAAAACAATCTCTATTCTCCATCAACTAACAGCGGCTAAAAAATATTATGTGAAAAAAACAATAATTCTACCTCCACCACCAAAGCGGCGGCTTGCCCAACAGCTGTTTTGCAATTTGCAGATACTATTGCTTGTTTTAGCCATATCATTATTTTGTATATGTATATAGCTCACTGAACTGAATACATGGAACGCGCGTTGACCATGAGTTTAGCACATGATAACAATAATAAATTACAGTTATTCCGTGATGTCAGTATTGAAAATTATCTCCTTGTCGGAGGCTACCGTTTTGAGTCTGATAATGTTGTACTCTCTCTCTCTCTCTCTCTCTATATATATATATATATATATATATATATATATTATTAAATAATTTTGTATTTTATATGAGCTGTACTTAATTAAATTATGTTATCAGTTTTCTTATTTTGTAAAAATAATAATGTAATAATAGTTAAAAAACAAATTATACTATGTCCCTAATTTAATGAAAATTTTCAATTTTAAAATAAAAATACCCAAAATAAGAAAGACTAATTAGAATCATGTATTTGAAATAATAGTTCATTTATTCTCTTTATTAAACAATTCAATTTTTTCCATTTTATTGGTAGGTATGCGCCATCGTCGATAAACATCACAAATAACATTTACAGATAGATATTATATTATATAGGCCAGCGTTTTCTTGGTTCTCTTTATTTGTTGACACTTTAATCATTCGTATATTTGAGTAAACCACACTTTGACTTACAATAGTCAATTTTATAATTTTAGTATCGATGCTTAGCTGAGAAGGCTAAAGGTACTATTTTTACAATATGGTATAATACTTACTTTTGTTAAAAGACCTACGATATCTTTTAAACCGCTAAGCCGATTTATTCATGCAGCGTCACTATAGATCAGAAAAAGTATTTATTAGTTAATTTAATGGGCCTAAAATTTTAAAAATTCATCTTTTAAAAATCGAGAAAAACACCAAACAAATTTACACGAAACCCAAAAGAAAAAGGTAGGATATTTACAATTTACCTTCAGAAAATTTTAGGTTGCTATATTATGTGAGTCGACAGTCAATAGGTGTCCAAAAAAAAGTTTTCATTATATTGTTAATATTTGTTGTTGGTTTTACAGACGACCTACTCTATAGCTAAAAATACAATTTTAAGCACATTACTGTTATGACAGTGCTTTATTAATTAATATATAATTATATTTCTACCATCTGCAGATATGCATCGAAGCGTTTATTGAAAAGTAATTTAATCACTTTAGATTTTAATGATTTCTGTAGACCGATTTCTTTCGTCCAAATATTTCCCATCTGTACTGGTTTTTTTTTATAAAAAAGTCTATTTAAATTTAATTAAACCCGCTAAGTTCCCACTGACTATTTAAAATATTCTAAAATTAGATCTTATTTGAAAAAAAACTGGTTTCTTATGTACTGTAAAAAAACAATAATTAGCGTGAAAGCTGTTCAAATACATTTTTGTTTTTAATAATTCTATCTAATGTATTTTATACAGACACTTAAAAAGTCTTGTAAACATATCTCGTACTTCAAGTCAACTATGTATGTTTTGGAATAATATAAGACTGTGGCAGCTAAATTGGCCAGGCCATATACGTTTTCTAAAGCGCTTAAACTTTCTGAAATCTGAGTGTAAGCAAAACCATATAAAGACGGTGGTCGGTGTAGTTACAAAGAAAAATCAATACTCTACCAAGTAGCATTTATTTTTTATTTTTTTCATCTTATGTTCCAACGGTTCCAGTGGTTGGTAGGTATTATATTCGCACCCCTTGGCAACGGATAAAGCCGCGCAGTCGCACTCCGTGCAGTCTCTTATATTTTTTTTTGTCTGACTAGGGGTGGCAATGACGGTGTAGTCCTTCCACCCTTCACACCCCATTGACCCCAGACTTCATACCCCCGTGACGTTTTCTGCGTACAGCCTTGCCTGCCGGTTAGGTATGGGAGAACAATATTGATCGTGCCAAACACGGTATTTGGATTCGCCTCAACGCGCATGTGTATGTTCTATATATATCAAAACTATAACCGAGACGTACTCAACCCTGCGCCGTTTGCAAAATATAAAATCAATACACGTGACCCGTGGTAAACGACAGCTCGTTTCAAATGTGCAGAAGAAGTAGAATCATGTAAAATACTACAAATCCGCAACGAAAACACAGATTATGATGGGCGCTTTCCGAGACTGATTCGACATTAACATATTATTAAATAACAAACTTAAAAATTTTAATCCACCAGCACATTTTTAAACTCTTGCTTTTGCTATCGATTTTTATTACTCAGAATTTTCGTAAAATAAATAACATCTTGTAGAAGGTAAATTATCCAAACCGGATACTCCACTATTTTAAAAAAAATTAATTTGTAGACAATTTTTATACCCATAATCAGTAGGTAAACAGTGGCCTATTAAAGGGAGGGTGCGATATGGTCGAAGACACCATCTGTTTGAGTTTTATCATCATACTATTTTGTTATTGTATTGGTACACGAGAATAAAAATGCATAGTTGGTCTAACTAAAATAATTATGGTAAATAGGGACACAATAAATGACACTAACATTTTAATTGGTCCAATTTAATGTGTTTTTTCTGTGTATTCATTCAGAAATAAAAAATGTAAATACTATTTTTCTAACTGTAAGTTTGATACATTATTATCAAAAGAAAAAAATGAGCTGTGATTGTAACTGCCATAAACGACTATATTTATAGTATATAATATTATCTAATCCACTATACGTAGTTGTACTTGTAAGTATACACATTACTCATAGTCATTACTCATTACCAACTTTTTGTTACCTATGGAGTATTCAATATTCGAAACACATAGATAAAGCTGTAGAATTCTGTATGGATTATCTCCTTAATAGGTGTTACCAGTGTACATTTTACATACACATGTCCAAATTAGTGTCACATAACACATTAACCAAACTCAGCTATTCAACGCTAAGATGGTTTGGTGCTTGGATTATGTGTAATTGTATTATAATAATATTGATGAATATATGAACCTAACCTTTATTAGTATGTCTATATTTATAAACGATTAATTTATTTATAATCGAAAGTATTTAAATAATTTTAAAAAGTATTCTCGACAAGAAGGCTAGTATTAGACATTTTAATGTTTATCGCTATTAACTGCGAATGCATTTTTTTGTTTATTGAACAAAGCTTAGTTGTTGCCCCTAAGTCTTTAATTCCATACATTTGGCATTGTCCATAAAATATGTCAATTTTAGAATTGAGTGGGAATTATAACTAAGTGAAAAAGATGGCATGACGAACGTCGAAAACCCTCGCTGATCTAAGACAGCCCACATCAGCGGGGGTTTCTAAAATGTATAGTAAAAATATTTGCAAATATTTGTGTCGTAAAGTACGGAAAACATTTTAAGGAACTCGTTGTTCTTGAATCCTAAACGACCATTATTGCTTTTTCCTCTAATCCAAAAGTAAATCCGCGCCTGCATTTGGTTTCGCAAAAAAGTTTCCGCAAAACGGTCATTGTTGCATTATAACAATTATTTAAAAGTACTTATTATCGACTCCCTGGCCAAAAACAAATGCGGTCCTACGTGCTTGTTGTCGACTAGCCGAGTTCATTATTTGGACAACCGCTACTCGTTAAACACTGCTTTTGTTTGTCCGTTTAAGTTTTTCGATTAGTTTTCTTATTTCTTTGAAGCCTTTCGTCAGTGACAATGCGTGAATGTATCTCCGTGCACGTCGGCCAGGCCGGTGTCCAGATCGGCAACGCTTGCTGGGAACTGTATTGCCTGGAACACGGCATACAACCCGACGGACAGATGCCGTCTGACAAGACCATCGGCAGCGGCGACGACAGTTTCAACACTTTCTTCAGCGAAACGGGCGCCGGCAAGCACGTGCCCAGGGCCGTGTTCATCGACCTCGAACCGACCGTAGTGGGTGAGGAGTGGAGGGAAACATAGTTTTTTTTTAGCAGAAACATTTTCGGGGTTATACGCTTATTGCTAACCTACGCGGTTGACGTTTGCAGACGAGGTGCGGACCGGCACGTACCGACAATTGTTCCATCCCGAGCAGTTGATCACGGGCAAAGAAGACGCGGCCAACAACTACGCGCGCGGTCACTACACGGTGGGCAAAGAAATCGTCGACCTGGTGCTGGACCGGATCAGAAAACTAGCAGACCAGTGCACTGGTCTGCAAGGCTTTCTGATATTCCACTCGTTTGGCGGCGGCACCGGTTCGGGGTTCGCGTCGCTGTTGATGGAACGCCTCAGCGTGGATTACGGCAAAAAAAGCAAACTCGAGTTTGCCATTTACCCGGCGCCGCAGGTGTCCACCGCGGTGGTAGAGCCGTACAACTCGGTGCTGACAACGCACACCACGCTGGAGCATTCGGACTGCGCGTTCATGGTGGACAACGAGGCCATCTACGACATATGCCGCCGGAACCTGGACATCGAGCGGCCCACGTACACCAATCTGAATCGGCTCATCGGTCAGATCGTATCGTCCATTACGGCATCGCTGCGGTTTGACGGCGCGCTCAACGTGGACCTGACCGAGTTCCAGACCAACCTGGTGCCGTACCCGCGTATCCACTTCCCGCTGGCCACGTACGCACCGGTCATATCTGCCGAGAAGGCGTATCACGAACAGCTGTCCGTGGCCGAAATCACCAACGCGTGTTTCGAGCCGGCCAACCAGATGGTCAAGTGCGATCCCCGGCACGGCAAGTACATGGCGTGCTGCATGTTGTACCGCGGTGACGTGGTGCCCAAAGATGTCAACGCCGCCATAGCCACCATCAAGACAAAGCGCACCATACAGTTTGTAGACTGGTGCCCGACCGGTTTCAAGGTCGGCATCAACTATCAGCCGCCAACCGTCGTGCCCGGCGGCGATTTAGCGAAAGTACAGCGCGCTGTCTGCATGTTGTCCAACACAACGGCCATCGCCGAAGCCTGGGCGCGCCTCGATCACAAGTTTGACTTGATGTACGCGAAACGTGCGTTTGTCCACTGGTACGTCGGTGAGGGTATGGAGGAAGGAGAGTTCTCAGAAGCCAGAGAGGATTTGGCAGCCCTCGAAAAAGACTATGAAGAGGTCGGTATGGACTCGGTCGAAGGCGAAGGTGAAGGCGGTGAGGAAGCTTAACTTCTGGGTTTTGATGTTTTTCCAAACAAATTTACATTTTTCTTGTGACGCAATTTATTGTGGGTGGAACACATCCCCCACTGTCATGATCAAATTTATACCACATATTCAGGCAAATATATCTTTAGCATTTTTCTTTATAATAGTTTAATTAGATTTCCTAACATCAAATCTAACCTTTTATAGACAGCGAAACACCTAAAATTATACATGTAATGAGTGGCAAGGCTGTCAAGCGATCCTGGTAAAAAATGATCTAACTATAAAAAGTGACTGGTGCTTAGTTTATGACAACATTTAATACTTACATTTACTTGTTAATACCTGCAAAATCGTATCGTCAAATTATAGTTGGTCAACCAACTTTTCTCGGCGGTTAAAATCAACATGCTCGTTCTATGAATTTTGGACAGTTGATTTAATAATCTTCAACTTACTATAGCTTCTTTCATACAAAGTTGTGGTTATACTCGTATGGTTAAAAACAAAAACTACTGGCTCGACTTCCTTGTTGCTTTTTTAAATTTGTAGATAGATTATTTAATTATTATTTCTCAACAATTAATATTGTTATTTAAATGATCACTGCTGCATGTTTAACGTAAATTATGTTCAGACTACAACCTAACCTATTTAAAAAAAAAATGCTTAGTGATGACTAGTGCTCAGTTTATGAGTTTCATTAATACTTAGTTTTTTTCAAAGTAATGGTTTATCTATTCGTCATGTGAAACGCAAAATTAAACAAATTCTAATTAAATGGCATTCATAACCGTCGATATGGACTACCTATGGTGTTTGCAGTTTAAATTTTTCAATAGTATAGTTTTAAAATTACAGTTATTACAATATTAGCCCACACGAGTTATTTTTATAGGTTTTGTAAACAAATCGTTTATCACCGGTTCTTCCGATTCTCATAAGATTAATTTACGATATGGTTAATAGTTGTCGGTTGCAACTATGAATGTAACTAATATAAGTAAACAGGTTGTTTCAATATATAGTAAAAAAAACTCTGGATGCTGATATATTTAACACAATGTTCTTTATTAAATCATCATGAATTTTTGTAATACAATAAGTAATAGGCATAGCTTTATATTAGCGTATGCGAATTTAGAAAGACTTAACAATGTTAATTTTAAGTTAAACTTAACTTATAAAAAAAACCTAATCCAATTAGTTTTCAGTTAAAAAATAGTAGGTAATTAAATAGTTTTTATTAAAAAGAAAATTTTTTTTTTACAAAGATTATGGTTTTTCAAAAACACGAGACAAACTAATTTTTATGGTTACTCGGACCACTAATCTAGTTAAAGTAATTCATTTTTAAGAGTACTTAAATTAATTAATTATTTGTACGTTATCGTATTATTTTACAGTACAAATGGTAACTAAAATAAGTTAAAAATTATTGGAAAATGTAAATTTCTGACAAGTTTATGCCAATACTGGGGGCATCTGGTCGAATCACAATCTTAAAACATTTAGACTAACTTAACCAATACACCTATCTGCTAGTCTATAAGTTAGGTCGTTTAAAAATATTCAAGGGATTATATTTTATAATCATATATTTCGCTTACATTTATTTTTTATATAAAATGTATTACATATATTTCGCTTGTAAAGTTACAAAATTAATTATACTTAATCAAATATTAAAACATTTACGAGTTTTATCAATTATCTAAGACAATACAAATAAAAAAAGATACATACATGCAAATAGGTACAGAAAAATAGCAAATGTATAGATTTTATGAGCTTTGTGAATTACATCAAGTACTTAATAACATAAAGTAGGCTTATACCAATTGTGAAAATATAATTTTTCACTCAGTCAACTATAATTTACTATTTACAATAGTCATTTACGGTACAGATAATTATAATAATATTAGCCAGTTATCACAAAATCAATTAGGTAGGTATTATACATCACTAAACAATAAATAATATTATAAGTTAATGGTTAAGTACTCAGGCATTCACTAAAAAGTCTACTTGTTAATAAACAAACTAATATGTTTTACTTATCACGTGTAAAGAATTATAAATTAAAATATAAATATAAAATACTAATTATAAATATATATATATATATATATTGTAGCGAAGATGGGAAATTAAAAACCTTACAGTAAGACGTATCGGGGAAAATATAATATAGTATCTGTTAACAAAATTATATTTAGGTATTCATAAATCTTAGTTATTTGATTAATTACGTAGATTGATACTTTAAATACAACCAAAATCATCAGTGAACGTCTACGATAGGCTTTCACAAAATGCTATCATCGTTATTTGTACTATTTTGTTCTATTTCTTTAGAAATGACTAAATTCTTACGTTATTTGTTTTTTGTTTTTATTTTAAAAATGTAAAAAACTACAAATTCAACAAACGGCTTATAAATATATACGCTTAATTTGAGAACCTCTTACTGAATACAGTATTATGTTTGCTTTTTTAAATAAAATTATTGATAGTTTATAAATATCGTCTACACACAAAATGTCCACTGCGGTTGGGAAACGGTTATCAGAAAACGATGACTTACACGTATAATATTGTACAGTAGAAGATGCACTTAAGAATCGGAATCGCTATGTTTTCGCTTATTTCTGTTTTTCTTGCGGCTGGTTTTATTGGAATTGCGTTTTTTCTTCGTATCGTAATCGTCTTCACCCAAATCTAACTGTAAGCTATTAATAGAATATGCATCATCTTCTTCGATTCTTCCTTTCGCTATTTTCAACTTGATTCCACGGCGCGACGTCAGATCTAAAACTGGTGGCATAACTTTGATCTTTTCTATGGGAATTGTTATTATAATCGGTTCGGGTACACTTTGCACGTTTTCAGCAGTTTTATTACTATCTTCGTTTTCGTGATGATCTCCGTTTTTGCGTTTTCTATTATTTTTACGATTTTTTTTCTCCAGTTTTTCTTCTCTACTTTTCTTTTTCTTTTTCTTGTTTTTTCGCGATTTTGCTTCAGCGTCCGTTTCGTCGGCGACTGCCCGGTCAGGTACAGGAACAGTGTCGGCCGGTACTGGTGACGATTCGTCTGACGATATAACGATAGTATCTAGTGCGGTTACAGACATTTGCGGTTGATGTTTGAGTTTAGGATCCCGAGGTTCAACATCACGAAGTTCTTCATGGTGAGGTTCATTGCTGCAGGGATTGTCATGGTGAGGCTCATCACCACGAGAGTTCACACCGTGAGGTTGATCCTGAAGAATCGGGAGAATAATCGAAGATTCTTCGGCTTTTAGCTGTGACTCCAGTTCGGGAGGTTCGTTTACACCTGCTAAATTTCCCAAATTGTTTTGATCGGTCATTTCGATTATTAAATTCGTTATCGCATCGGAATACGACGATGTCACTTCGAGATAGTTGTCCCGCCTTCCGGAATACGTCAATGTAGCTTCAGACTGGTGGTGGGTCTGACTCGTGGAATACATCGGTTGGGAATAGCTTCCACGGTTTGCGGGATATACCGATGTCGCTTCGGACTGTACGTGGGACTGGCCCGTGACATACGACGGTATCCCTCGAGAATAGCTTCCAGGGTTCCCGGGATACGTCAATGTGGCATTAGATTGGCCACGTGACTGACCCGTAGAATGCGTCGGTATCGCTTGGGAATAACTTTCGCGGTGCACGGGATACATTGATGTCACTTGGGAATAGCTGGGCCGGCTTGCGGGATACGTGTCCTGTGCGGGTATAGTTTGGCCTGCCGCTTCCGTATTAGCGACAACAGTGCTAGGAAGCTTGGCTTTATTGAGTGAACTGTTTAGAGCCGTCGACGTTCCAGTAACGGGTAATGACGGAGTTGGATTTGTGCCGGAAGTAATGTGTGGAACCGCCAGTCTTTTTTCGATACGACCGTCCGGATACAATACTCCAGGAGCCGTGCCGAACGACGTCCCAGCAAATCTTAGATCTGTCGGTACGTTATTCGTTCTGGTCGGAGGTCGGAACTCTACGGTAGGATGAGGTATGATCGACGCGGGCCCTCCCAGCGGGCTGTCGTTGTCGCCGACCAACATTCCGTTTGAATCCGTTGCGTTGGAAGCGTTTAGCCGTTTCTTCAGCCTGGGAGAACAGCTGCTGAACACGGCGAAATAGTCTTTAGTCATCTGCTCTAGTAGTTCGGCGGTAACGTTTTGGTCGACGTACCAATACCACGGTTTGCCCTCCGTACTGTCTTGCAGCTCCCACATGGACCATTTGCACGCCATGTGTATACAAAAGCACGCCACTAACGTGGGTCTGTATTGAACACACATGGTGGTCAGGTGCAAACTGTTGGACGCCATGAAATAGGCGGTGTGCGCGAGGTCTCTGCTGGCTTTGACCATATGACAACACCGGACGATGTAGGTGTGCGGATGATCGACGGCAATCTCGAAACCAAGTGTTTTCAACAGTAGCTCTTCGTTGTACAACAGATCGCTTACGTGACTGGCAAAGTACTCTGACTTGGTGTCTATGCCGGCGTTGGTGTTTTGTCCTTGTTGCTTTTGTATGATGATGAGTGACATTTTGATGACGTGTTCCAGTTTGCGAGGTTGTTCTTCGTTCTTAGCCGACAGAAAAAGACACGCCACGGCCGTGGGGTTGCGATGAAAGATCGCGAACGGATGAAACATATAAAAACGATGCATGTACACGATGGCCGTGTTGATGCACAACTGGGTAGTCTGCAGTCTTTGACCAATGTCTTGAATAAGGTTGGCCGCCATCTGTCGGTACAACATCTCCTTCTGTAGGTCGAGACCATACCTTCTACTAGGTGTATTCTCTAGTTCTTCTTTCGTGAATAACCATCGATCTTCATGCATGGCGGTGGTCTATCTAAAACATAATCATTTCAATATTATATCTACGTAAGTAAAATGAAGCGAAAATTCGATACCCAAAAAACATAATATTGTGTATTCTATATTTTCAACATCATATATGGAATTCACTTTTCAAATATAAAAAAATAGAAAACATTTCAATACTGTTGATATCACTACCAAATAGAACTAAAAATCATAATATCGCATCGTTGACCATGAATATTAACAAGCGAAATTATTGAAATTGTTTTCTGCACCGAGTACCAACAGCAAAATCGTTTACGGGTTATCGGGTTAATTTCACTCAATAACCAATTTAAATAACAAAACGAAATCATATACTAAAGTACCTATTCTCGTCGCGCACTTTTGTGATACTTGAACAAAAGAAGAGACCAAATTCCAAGAACTCGGTATTAGTTTAAGATTACATTTTCCATTTTCCTATAACATTGGAAATGTTTCTTTGGTGGGTTTTAGTCAGTAAGAATCTTTAGGAAAAAAAATAAGATTTTTATGTTACATTTTAAATTGTTTTTTTTGAGTTTACAATATTCTACAAAATATCATACTGTATGGTATGCGCAAGTGATAAAGGTATACTGGCTGATATAATTGTTGTCGAGTAAGAATTACCAGTACTTGTAAAATTTTAAGTATTAAAACACACTTTATTTTTGCTACTTTTTGTGTGATCAGTCTTGTGTACATTTTTAAAAAGTACAATTTATTTGTTGCTGAATTTATAACTGGCGTCAACATTTAATGTTTTTTACTGTGAAAGAATATTTATGGAATCCCTTTTAAAATAATGATAATATAGACCATACAATATGATATATTTACAATTAGTAATATCTATCAAGAAATCAATAATAATTCATAACATATCTTTCGTTTTTTGTTCGAGTTTAATGAAACTTATAATAAGTAATTTTATCAACGAATCAATTTTGGTTATAGCTTCGATGCATAGCTGAGAAAGTATTGTTTTTTTTTGTGTGTCTAGACCCACTATATCTTATCTCTGTCTCTCTTATCTATTACTATAAGCCCCTGGACCAATGTCTTTAAATTGCAACTCTACAGATCAGAACTCATACGTGAAAGGCATTTTACTGGGCCAAAAAATTGAGTACTTAATCCTTCCCTTCAAAATCGATATAAACATTAAAAAAATGTACACATTTTTATCGTATGGTTAATGTCCATGGCTGTTGCGGTTTGGCATCTCAGTTTTAAACCGTATCCGATGTCGTTTTGCTTATCTGTATGCTGCTGCTGATCCATTATGCGAATGGATAGTGTCCAGAAAACTGTGACTGTAACGCACGAGATACAAACACGTGTTTGTGCTATTTCCTTACTCTCCTATTTGGTATTTTTCCTACTTGACGGTATTGCCGGCGACGTGATACTGATCTGTATTAAACAATTTTTTTTAAGGAAAACCCGAAGAGGGGGGTTTCCCAAACTTTCATCTCAATCAATTCCAAATTTACTATATAAAAGTAAATCAACAGTCGACAGGTATCCGAGAACAATTTTAATTATGTGGTTGACTTATCTGTTAATAAAAAAGACAATAAATTAGGAATGACAGCCGATCAACCCTTATCGTATACACCCTAGCCTAAAAATGTAATTTTATTGCCATTAAAATGCTTTTATCGATGTTTAATACCTTTTGCAAATCCGCATCGAAGCGTTTATTTAAATCATCACTTTCCCATATCCTGATAATATGCTCCGTCCCTGCTACACTTTTATTGTTCTTAGGTACATTAAAATATATCTAATTGCACAAACAACAGAATATATACAAGTACTATCTAATTTTTCATTACGCAAAACATTTTCTTTAATTTTTATTGGGTTTTAATGTTTTTAAGAGATATACTGTGCACAATCTATGTTTAGGTATTTGAATGGTGATAAACATTTCATATTAATTACAATTTTTATCATTTCATGAAAATAATTTCATTTCATGTTGTGTATGCACTTCGATATTGTCAATTTAATGATTTTGATTTTAATCCACCGACATTTCAAAAAATATTGAAAGGCCATTATCCTATCTGTCATTGATATTTTTTTTCCATCTACTCTATTATATTTTACTATACATTTTACTTTCTATTGACTTATTTTCCTTGGGTTTTTTACCATGGTTGTTTTGTTCTTGAGTTGACTAATAAAAATTTACCACCCTTTATAAATGTATTCTATTTATTTTTAATTCCTCCATATCATCGTACATTCCTGTATAATAAAACAACTAACACTAACCCATAGTCGAGGTAAATGGAAATTGTAATAATTAAAAATTACATCACATTCGCCTTATTTTTTTTTTTACCAAGTCGCTAGAGAGTACACAACAAGGCAGGTAATACTTAAATAAGTATAAGTCATAACATATAGTTATTCATGATTTATTTATTATCATAATATTTTTAGACTAAGAGTGTTGTAAGTAATACATAATTTTAAATTACTTACATCAATAACACCGCCATTAAAATCCTCAAATTATCTGATGGAGGAAAACAAATTTACACATTTGTCTGTAACTGGACTACTTATGATTAAAATTTATCTTTTAAATTTTATAATAAAAACAACGATACAATACTTGTTGTATACAAATATTATCAACTATACTGAAGCCAAATTTTAGCGTTAATAATTAATACACAAAACAAAAAGCTATTAATAAAATTTAAACTCAACAATTATCATTCTATAATTAAACAATTCACGGATAATATTAATGTAATAATAGGCTCTGCTGATCAAATAAATAAATTCATGAATCATACCAACTGTACACAATAATAACAGATAAGTTCGTAAAAAAAAACGCCAATTAAATCTCATATTTAATTAAATATTTGTCAAAAAAAAAATTACAAAAGTTTGATTATTAAGTTGTTTTGTTGAATGAAGATTTTTCCGATTTTTCTGATCTGTCGTCAGCGACGTCGTTAGTTCTTAAGACTGGACGAGTTACGATTTCTGTTCAAATTAAATAAAATAATATGAAGTTACTAGTTAACGAATATGAAATTTTTGTTTCGTTTGGTAAACTAGAAATTACAAGGTAATAATATCAATCGAGTGATTTATATTAAGGAAACTCTTAAAAAAACTGAAAAATAATAGATAAAATTATTTTTATGTAACACTATTAAGTTCTTGAGTTTATTTTTTCTTTAGCTTCCGGCATTCGTGTTAGTTTCTTTTTTTTTAATTTAAAATTTAATTGAACAGTTTGCACTAGATTCAGAGAGTAAAATATTTAATTTAAATTTAAATTAAAAATGTTAATAAAAATATAACTCGATAAAATCCTTGTTGAAGACGATAACCTGCAAGAAGTAATGACCACACATGGAATAAACCGTAAAAAACGACAATGCATACAAAGTATGATACGCAATACGCATAGATGACATAAAATACTGTATTATTTAGTGTGAACTATATAAAAATACAAAGCACAGGATGGTTTACTATCTGAACTATTAATGTTTATAAAAAACAAATATAAGTCTACCCTGACCGTGAAATTTATAAAATGGACAATTTCCTGCTTTTAGTTCCTTATTAACAGCAATACTATACATCGCCCCCTCCCCTATGCCATAAGTGCAATTCAGCAGAAATTGCTTAAACACAAAATTCAGTGCTTGAACTGAAAACAATAATAGACAATCTATATAAATATATATTTATGTATCCGTTGACATGGCTTAAAATAATATTATACAGTGTATCCTTACGATGGAAACACTGTTATTAAAAAGTTGATGCATTTGATCACGAACAAAATCCGTTGCAGGGGTCAAAACACATTTCAAATTATTATTTTTCATTTTTGGGGAGTTTCTTTTCATCTTGTAATCATTCAATTATTAAGTGGCAACAAAAATAGTACTTTTTACAAACATTTTTTTTAATATCTTAGGAAAAATCAAATAAACAAAAATATCTTACTAAACTTTCGGTTTAGTATGTAATTTATTCTGTGGACTAAGCATACCTGCTTCGAGGGTTAAATCGACTTAATGGAGATAGAAGGGAGATAGGAGGAGTTATTAATTTTTTCTTATCATACAGAAAAATTAACTGTCTAAGAAAAATACTGAAATGTAACCACGATAAATATACCAACTTTGAGTAAATACACCGTACACGGCCAGAACATTAAAAAATAAAATATAAGAAGTTCTTTTTAATAATTGTTGTTGTTATTATTATCAATATGGCGTTTAATGGCCATGAACACGAGTGTAAACAATGTACAAAAATTCAATACTGGTCGCGTAAACAATTATAGACATTGACATATAATTTTATTTTTATTTGATTTTAATAGTAGTCGAAAAGGGAAGATAGTTTACGCATTTTTAACGGTTGCCAATTGGCGGTCGCGTGCGTTGTTTTCACGAACGCGATGGATCTGTTGACGACGTTGGCCGTCACGGTCGTGGCTTGCCTGTACTGTTCATGGTCGACGAATGCGAAGTTAGAAATATTCAGCGATTTAGAACAGAACATTATCGACCAGGACATAGAAAAGTACTCGACTTTCTTGAACATGAAAATGACCAGCTTGGACGACGACATTAACGGAAAGACGCTCAGGGAGGTGTTCACCCTGAAGTTGCGCTCGCAAATACACAAGGGCAGTCTGTGGCTGCGTTGGGTTATCGAGGACACGGCCCTGTCCGGTCTGTTGCAGTTTTGTCAGTACACCACGTGCATATACAAAGCCAGCGGGAACACGTACGTGCTCAATCAGACTAGGGGGGCCGAAGACTTTTACAACATGATCGTGGATACGTGCCGGCGGGAACAATTGTCGGTGACAAAACTAGTACAGTTCGGCGAAATCATCGAAGGGTTCCGGAAAACTGGTGACGCAAAACAGCTGGTAAGCTTATGCAGACAGTACTTGGCCAAACACTCTAAGTTCTCGTACGCCGTTAACATAATGGACTTGAACGACTGCAGCAATGAGGACATGGCGGTACTGAAGAAAAAACGCAAAGCGCACATACGAAAAATCGCCAAAATTTTCAAGTACGGAGATTTATGAAGATCACGCTGTATACACCACGCATTCGTTTTTTAGTCAAATACATTTTAAACATACTCTCATTTTCACTTGACTATTCAATACTATACTATACCGCTACCTTTTCGATATAAACCAAAGTTAATAGTTTCACGTTTACTAAGGCTCCCGCGGATTGTAAGATCTCCCAATTTCAGAGAGATTTCCGTTCATCAATAAAATTACGCGTGATTAATACAATAATATAACAGCGGCTTATACTTTTTTTTAAACATCGAAAAAAACCAAGTAATTGAATATTCGAATAAGTACGTATAATAACGAGATGACCTAATAATAACGTGTAACACTATTATGGGGAACTTGGTAACAAATTGGTTCCATAAAAAAGCCAAGTTGTCTGGTAGCGACGTGTACCAGTCCAACTTTTCCTGCCATAGCTCTTGCATAAATGCATTTGCCCACAACAGTATTGGTCCTAAAAATACCAATCGGGTCGAAAAGTCTCGCTATAGTAGACAGGACTTTGCGTTTTGTGTACTGAATTTTTTGAACGTTGAAACGGTATGCGAATATGTCGGAGTAAAAGTGTCAATGAAGTCCCAAGACATTTACCGTTTGGTCAGAAAATAGAGATGAAGCGCAGTCTTCTTGACGGAGTCGCTCAAAAATATGTGGACATTTGGTTAACTTTTTCTCCAGCTCACCCACGCCCACGTAAATCAATCCAATTAGCTAATCTTGAATGAGTAGAAGCTCGTCTGAAGTATTCGCTCCAGTTATAATATCTGCTAAAATGTCTTTAAATACTAGACAACGCGATGCTTCTAGACCGTCTAACTCGTACAAAGTTTTAATAGCCAAAATGGAAGCAGATTTTACAACGTAAGTTACGATCAGTATTCATTAGTTCCTATTCTTGAACTTCGTCGGCCGGTAAATTGAGTCAAATTAGGCATTAAAGAAATGCCTAGTAATTAGTTATTGTTTTTACTTTAACAACAGGGTGTTAAGCTAGGCCAACAATATCAGTGTTGCACTTGCGTCTGACTGTCTAATAGTACTCGAACACAATGTAAAACTCCGTATTTATCCTAAACGCGAGCAACTTAGCCATGGCCGTGGAATTTGCGTGTGATGTGCCGACGACCTGGGTTTCAACGGAAAGAACATCAATGGCTTTATGGAAATATTCTCAAATGAAGAATCACTTTTAGAGCACAGTTGATTTTGAGGCTTTTATCTAAAGTGTGATAGTGTATTTTGGCGTTTACTGCATTTATAACACTTGCGTGGACTGTACATTTCGGTAAATAATCCGGGCCGAACGGACCAAATAGTTTCTGTTTCTTAAAATGTCAACTAGGTTTCTCCAGTGGAAAGAGAGTATTAATTGTTTAAATTGAGTTAGCGAAGTGTTTTTGTAGGAATATTATTATATAAAAGGTTATGTCACATGTGTATAAATGTTTACTGGTCCGTTTATATCGGCAAAACAGACAAAGGCTGTATTAGTCATATAGTAAATAACAAATAGTACTAATTTTTATCTATGGTGTAAAGTGCAAATATCATTAAAATTGTCTATTTGTTAAGTAATTGTTTTGATGAGAAAAATAGCCATCGCCCTTTGGTAGCAAGGACAATAAACAAAATAAAAAAACCGAAAACAAATGTTTAAAGCTGATATAAAAGAAAATTTGATAGGTAAATTGTCAATAATGATCAATGTTGTTTAATACAAATGGGTAAAAAAGGTGGTTATTGGTTTTAGCAAATTTTATAACTGAATAAATGAAACGTCTTGGTTACTCTTAAGCCCGTGGAGGCCCTTAGTTTGGAAATAGGGCACTAGAAAGTGTTTTAATGTAGAAACGGTGCAAACGTTAAGTACGAACACTTTAAATGACATTAATTTTTACTTTTACTTAGAAAACCTTCTGAGAGCGTGACTAGTGTTATTAAAGAAGTGCCAAGACAAATGGAAAAAAATATATTTATATTCTGGAGTTATAAGTGGAAACGAAACGAAATCCTTCGCAGAATAGATATATATGTATTGTCAAATATTGCATAATATACGTATGCACATACATAATACTTTATACATATTTATAACATAAATGTATATATTTTCCGCTAAGTTATATTTCCCCCAAATCGGGCAATATTGGCATAGTACTTTTGTGTCGTATATAATTATTATACTACTTATTTTTATAGACTGATGAAAAAATTATTAATTTATATTTTGAAAATAAGTTGTATACATTTTAGGTAATGCTGCTAGCAATGAGCTAGAAATGTAATAATACCTATTTTTGTAACCTAAACATTGCTACGTCTTTCACTTAGATCGTTTTTATTAGACGTTGTTACCTGGGCTCTGTATTATACTTCTGAAGCACTGTAGACATTTCATAAGAAGTTTACGGTTCTTAGCCGGCAATTTAAAAAATATGTCCACTGTCCTGTTTATTAGAACCAGGCATCCGATAATGGTTAATTAAAATTAAAAAAAAAATAGAATAATAATTAATTTTATTCAAAGAGGGTATGAACATCCGATTGACTGACAATTGTATAAAATGTCTTTTTAATTTTATATAATAAAAACTTCTAATTAAAAACTAACTTCTTTTATTCAGATAACTTAAACTTGACTATGATAGATTTAATTTAAATCATCATCATGTAGCTTAACAGGCCTTTATGGCACAAACCTGCCATCATATTTAGTGATGGTCCCCTGAAGAACTCGCTGCCCAGGACGACCCGTCAGTCCGTCACTGCCGCCTTAACTACTCGGCCACTCCTCCTTTTCCTCTGGATTTAATTTAAAATTAACTAAAACTCGTTTAAAACATATTTAACTCTGTTACAAGTAAACATTAGATGTTAGATACAATCCAAAAATTATTAAAAAAGAATAAACTTTCACATCCGCTGAGTACATGAGTAAAATTTTTCTATTTTTTAAATTGACGTTCAAAAATAATATCCTTTAAGAATTCTTCGATAATTGTATTTTACGATTATTTGCTAATTGGAATAAAGGTAACTTTGATAACTATTACTGTTCAAACACATGACGAAACTATTTTTTTTACAAACACTTTTAAACACAATTACCGTCTCGAGTCCGAGTCGAAGTGTTGAAAGAATTTATTAAACGTTTGATTACGAAGTAAATATTTGTAAAACATATTAATACGTCTAGTAACCATCTCATGATGGCAGCGTTGGGCATACGTGGTCTGTAAGCTCGCATGATGATGATTAATACGTTATAGGTAACTTATAAAGTATAAAATAATTTTAAAATAAAAAAAATACATTTTCAACACATTACAATTGCAACATTACACGCGTTTTATAATATACATTTAAAAACATTTCTTTAGTACGGCAAACGACAACCCTGGCGCATAAAAGTTAATTTATAACCGTTTCCAACGTTTGCGTTGTAAAAAATGTATAATTTTTTTCTAACTATCTCGAGATATATAATGTATTTTAATACATACAAAGTATATAAGACACCAAAATTGGCAAAAAAAAATCCGACGGGTTTTTGCCAATTTTGGTGCGCTAGTGCACACAAAGTCAAATGCCGTGTGCTATTGATATGCCTGGAAAACTATATGATCACTAATCCGCGCGTTAAAGATACATAAAATAGAACTCACCTAATGACTCAGTACAGTACAAGACAGGTAACAGGTGCCGATCGCGTTTACTGCACGTCAGTCGTCAACGGAAACACCTCGTAAATTATCGGTATAATAGTAATTACTAACGTTTAAAATTGACGTTTTTTATTCAGAAGTGGTCCATGCCGCGGTCAGATTACAACAGAGTTCACCCTCTTAAGCTTTCACGTCACCCGGCGTCGTTGGGGGCCGATCGGAGCAGCGGAGCGCTTGCGCCACTATCTCTAAGCCGTGATAGGTGGAGGTTTCTCATTGATCACCCCTGTACCACTTGTTCCTCATGCGCAATACAAAAATACCGTGTTATAAAAAAAAAAAAAATACTTTACATCGTAAATCGATAATACGGAGGGATGAGGGGGTCGGTCAAATTGTCAAAATGATAAGTTAAAATTACATCTTTAACACTAAAAAGTAGTTTAAAACGACAAATCCGCCTGTTGCAAGTCTTTTCCGTAAACATCAATATAGAAATAATAATCCTCGTAGCACAATAATAGCACGCTTACAATGGCGGCGCCATAATACCGTCATACACAACCGACATTTGGGTGTGTTGTCCCTCGTGTTTTACGATAACTGGTATCTCTGTAATTAATTACTTAGATAAAAACTTCAGTATCAACAATGTTAGATGTACGAATATTTTTTTTTTAATGTTATCAAAATTTGAAGATTCTACGACAAAAATTAGTATGGTTTAAAGCTCACTAACAACGATTAAACAAAATGAAAAGCGACAAAAATTAACGTTATGATAGTGTTATAGAAAAAAATGCATTACCTATAAAGACTACTCGTTACTGTACCAATAAAATACACTTGTTTTATTCTTATAATACAATTCTGGCAAAAATTAACTTTACCAAATCCTGTAATAAATAAGGGGTATGGAGTCCTGATAAGCAAAGTATAATATTAATTACAACCACCTGTCCCACAATTTATTTTTAATACCTTTTAGGTAAAGGTGAGCATTGCTACAACATATAAAATCTCGACACATTCATAATTCATAATGTGCCTATAAATAGAAATATTGGTACAATTTTAACTATATGTATTTGTAAATTACATTTACAATGTCTATATTTATTAATAATTTGGATAGCTTTGATACTTTTTTCCAGCTGCTTTTAAGCTATAACATCATTGTTTCCCTTATAATATGTATACGATTAAGTGAACAATATAACTATAATAAGATGCCAATATTTCTTAATAAAATATTATTTCATTCAAATATTATTATCATTGTTGACAGACAAGTTGCTAAGCAAGCATCGATTGAGAACACTTACCATTTGAAACAGTAGACTCACTACTCTCAGACATAAAAATATTCATACAGAAAAAGACGCAATATGGTGAAATATGTGGCAAAAGTCTAACACAAAACTTGACGAAATAAAAAACTACATTAAAAGATGGCCAAAAACCAATATTCATAGTAAACAAATTAATGTCATTAGGAACAGTGTTAGACTCAGACATACAAAACTCAACCACACATACGTACCATGTTAACGATCAAGCACATATTCACAGAGTGTAGAAAATATAAAGACCTTAAAAACAAATTTAACTATAATAATCAACTATACACTTATGAGAAATCCTAGAGCCCAACGCCAACATTTCAAAAGTTAGTAGCTTCGTCTCACAATAAGACTAGAAAAAAGAAAAAAAAAAAATTTTCAAGACTTGTGCAAAAATTATTTGGTGGCAAAAAAAAATATTGTGTCTAAAATAATGAAATGCCTTATTTTTTTGTTAAAATACTAACAAAATAAAATTAAAAAATTATAATTGTAATATTAGAATATTATTATTATAAATTATTTTAAATAAATAATAATAATTATATGACCTATTGGTCATCTTTGAACAAGCAAATAATTAATAAATAATGGTTTTAGGCAGAATGAAAATCACATTATTAAATAATAATTATTACCATAGACGTATCTCCCTCCTCTCCTTCTCGTAGAATTAAATAATAAATTTAAACAAAAATGTAATACAAATTATATTAATTATTTTTTATTTCAACATACATATGGTTCAACTAAAATACCAATAGAGATTTAGCTCAGCAAATTATGTAAAATTAATTACTTTTATTAAAACTAGACCAACATAATCCTAATCAGAAATGTCAAACCTGTTATCAGAACAAACAGAAAACTAGTGTAGGTAGTTAAGTATTATGTACTTTGTACATATTAAGTTCCTAATATTTAAGTAAAATAATGTAATCAAGTGCCAGATAAATAATTCACAATGACTGTGGATTCAAATTATTGTCAATCTTTTAATGCTATTTTGTTGCTTGTTATTAGTACAAAATCGTTTTTATCTTTTGATAAAGCATTCATATTTACTAATAAACTAAGACCTATCTGTACACACAAAAAAGCTCCAGTGCGTGAAATAGTAATTACTATTGTACAACTGTACAATAATTAATCGATAATAAAAAGTTAAGTAAATCATCAAGATATTAATAGTATTTACCAATAAACAAAATTGTTTTTTTTATATTATGATACCTAGCTACATAATAGTGCCAAAACAACATTAATGTTGTATATGTAATTATATAAGACCTTTCTTGAATGTTTTTAATAAAATCTTAATTTAAAAAAAATAATAATAAGAGGCTGCTAATATCTAAACAAAAAAAATCTCACTGCTCGCATTGATACCCACTTCTCCCCCCACTAGTTAGGTACACCTAAGTATAGGATCCAGAGAACATGAGTATGTAGAAATGAGGTTTATTATTTTATTATACAACAGTTTATATTTATAGCCACAATGATTTGTGAATGTTACAAAATATTGCGTTTTGAGTACAGACAGTACAGAGAGGCTAGCTTGTTGACATCATATGTTAATACAATACTGATTAGTGCCATTCAATTAATGCCATTCAAAGTATGAAGATAATACAAACAACGAGTTTTGTTAGAAGCTATATTAACCATAGTTGAAAATAGTTTAAAATAGGACCACATATGAGGAGTTTTGCAGAAAAATGTGTTTTATTCCACTACATAAATTAAAAAATGTCAGCATGGTATACAAGCCGCATGATTTTGTGAAGCCATATACAACTGTGTCCAAGTGTGTGTGTTATCACAATAACAAAGCCTCCAAGTTTTATAAAAATAATGACTCTTTGACTCAAGTCTGCTGAGAATGAACACATCCTATTCATCAATTTTTTTGTTTTTGTTTAACAACAAACGTTTCCTGCACAATTTCTGACAGCCTGTGTGATATATTAATAAAATTAACGTGAAAGCACGGAAACGACTACCTATAAAATTAGATGAGTTTTCCTCCATTTAATTTAAGAGTGAATGTTCACAAACTCGGTTTGTAACGTAAAAACAAAGACGGGTACCATGTGTAATATTTAAACGTTTTCAAGTACCAACAATTTAAGGAAAATAAAACTTACTTTTGTTTTTTTTTTTATATGTGAAACGAGCTGATTTTCAGAATGCCAAAGTAGAGGCTTTCCAAAGTAGAGGCTTGACCGAGGGCGATCCCACGTAGAATTTTCAACATGGGCGGCATAGCAGCCCCTTTGATCGGCATTTCCCAATTTCGAACCGAATACCGAATGATTTTGGACGCGCTACAACGCGACGGCCGATGACACGGTCCGTTTATCATTTTACGGTGATAACACGTTATCTCTGTCGGTGTTATCTTAAATCATGACTAGCAGCAGATGCTGGAGCCGCTCTATGGCCGTGAAATGTGAATGCCCTTATCGGTTCGGCGGCCACAGATAGTATAATATTATATTATTATGTTAGTGCAGTGGACAATGATATTTGAAAAACATTGACCTGTTGTACGACGTGATACGACTATGATTAATAAATTACCGTATTTTGAACATATTCAAATTAAAAAATTATTAAGCACGGTATTGATGGTGAACTGAAAATTAAATAAATGATAAACGTTACCGAACGAGTTGTTTTCAATAATCATCGGAATAAACGTCGAAAAACGTTTGACTTGTTAATATAAGATTTTTAGTGTATACAAATTACGAATATTACTATACAAAATGATTTCCAAATATAACATAGGTTTTATCGAACCTTATGTGTTAAAAAAAGTGAGTTGAATCGTCAATTAATTGTTTACTAGGTACGCTAATTAATCTTAGTTGTTACAACAGTCAGACGAATGGCCAATTGGATAAAGCGACAGAGTGTAGCGCTCTCCTTCTCCACATCAAAGAACTGACAACCTGTCCTGAAAATAGATTTTTCATATATGATGGCAGCAAAAGGCCTTCAATCCCTGTTAGGCTTTTTGATGATTACATGTATCTTCTTCATAGTATAGTCATGTTAATAATACAAAAACTAGAAGCCCTAATTAGCTGTTAAATACTATTACTTGTTATACTTGAGTCGATTATAATACTATTGTTGTGAGCCTTTGACTAATGAATATTACTGTTGGCGTTAAAAGTAGATATGCTATCCATTTCATCATCTTTACCGTAGATTTTTACCTACATTTTAACCAATGATAAACTATTGTGTAAACTTAACTAATAATATTTTTATTTTTAGGTAATATCACAAAAGACAAGCTACCTAAAAATAAATGGTCGGTTTCAAAAGAGGTAATTTGATTTGATAGTCTAGTACTATAAGCGACACAGTTTATAATTTGTAATTATCATAAGCATCCTATAACTAGACACTTTGTTTCCAGGTTTTTTACAGACGATTCTCAATTTATACAACGAAGTGTCATACCAACAATGCATTTTCAACGCTCTCTACCCAGATTACCAATACCCGAGCTAAGCCTGACGTGTCAACGTTACCTAAGAGCCCAAAAACCTTTGTTAGCACCTAATGATTTTGCAAATACAGAATCCTTGGTAAAAGAGTTTCAACAAAATGAGGGACTTAACCTTCAAAATATGCTTAAAAAAAAGAACGATTTAAACAAACACACCAGCTACATAACCGCTGATTGGTTTGACATGTATTTATCGGATCGAACACCCTTGCCAATTAACTACAATCCCATATTAGTGTTTAAACATACTGATGAAGCCTACAATAGTCAACTTTTACGTTCAACAAATTTATTAATATCGTCATTGAGGTAAGTGATGTTTGATATTCCTATTGTTATTTTGTTTTTTATTCCATTTTAAAAATCATACCATTCACAGTATCATTTCACAAAATATTAAAATAAAATTACTAATATTTAAAACTATATTTTATTGTAGATTTTACAAATCACTCCAATCAAACATTTTAGAACCAGAAATTTTCCATCTTAATCCAAAAAAAAGTGACACGTCTCAATTCAAGACTATCATGAAATACTTACCAGAATCGATTAGTTGGTATGGAGCATACATGTACAATGTAAGTAAAGTGTTTAAAATAAATTTAATTTATTTCATGAAAAGAAAAATCCTTTTTAGAATAATGTCGGTAAAGAAGTATTTTATTTGTACAGAAGTAGTGAAGATATTATAACTTGTGTGAAACATCATACTACATTGGTTGATAACTAGTTGGCAAAATATAATTTTTTTGTTTTTTATTAAATAGTAATGTTTTTGGTCACTATAATCAAATTTTAACTTTCTTTTTTTTAGGCTTATCCTTTGGACATGTCTCAATATAGTTCACTTTTTAACAGTACGAGGATACCAAATATCAAAAAGGATACTCTACATAAAAATCCTTCTGGAAAGCACATTGTAGTAATGAGGGGAGGACATTTTTATAAATTTGACGTCTTCAACGACAACGGTTTGACATTTTTTTTTTAATATTAAATTAAAATTTTTACTTGATTTTGAGGTTAACAAATCATCTCAGCTTTGGGCCTGCAAGGCCTATTAAGCTACATGATGATGATTATTATTTAATTCATTTTAATATTATCAAGACTCACATTAAGTAATTCTCTTCTGATTTGGTAATGTTGTGTTCCAGGCAACATAATAGCGCCTCAGTTACTATTGTCAAAACTACAGTATATTTTAAAAAATAACATTCCTCCGTCGGAACACCCAGTCGGCGTATTAACAACGTCTGAACGTGATAATTGGGCCAGGTTGAGAACCCATCTTGAAATGTTGGGAAACAAAGATACGTTGAACGCGATTGACAATAGTTTAATGATGATAGCACTGGACGACGAGAGTCTTAACTCTGAACCCATATCGATTGTAAAACAGTATTTACATTCCAACGGCACCAATAGGTAAATAATATAAAATTAAAAAAAAAAAAAAATGTTTAGATGCCTAAAACGGAAGTGAGTGGGTAAAATGTTTTATTATATTAGGCTCTCTATAATTTTGAGTTTGTCATGCTTCTTGATTTGTCAATTATTAAACTTAATATATTTATACTTTTACTTTATTATTATTGAGTCAACAACCTATTTACAGGTGGTTTGATAAATCTTTCACATTGATAGTTTGCAGCGATGGCACTGCTGGGCTGAACTTTGAACATTCGTGGGGTGACGGAGTGGCAGTACTGAGATATTTCCAAGACATCTCTAAAGATAGCGTAGACTCGCCGAGATGTCATCCAGGAGATTTTTCCGTTGAAATAAATTCAGACAATTTAAATGTGCAAAAACTAGGTGCACTCTCTTAAAGTCTATTATCTTCCGGCCTCCTCTGTTATCACTAATAAATATAATATAAAAATTAATTTTTTTTAATTTTGTTATTAAAAAATGTTCAACTATAAAGATTACGCATATAGTTTTCATGTATTTGAAGTATACACATTATTACACTTTATACAACAAAACGTATATTAATCACTTTTAAGTAATTAATATTATTTCAATTGCGTTTTAGAGTTTGTTTTGGACGATCAATTGAAAAGTGAAATTGCAAAAACTAAAGACCAATTCAAATGCACGTATGAATCAATGGACACAAACTATTTTGAATTTTTTGATGTTGGTAGAGAAACGTGCAAGAAATTCGGAATTAGTGCCGATTCGCTTATGCAGTTGTGTTTTCAGGTAAGCTGAATGGTACAAGTATAATAGTATAGGCATGTTACTATTGAGTATCGTTAAAACCTTGAATTTGGCAAGTTCTTTATATTCAATTACTTTTAATTTGCTTACCTTTTAAATGTATTTTAGCTGGGCCATTACAAACTACACAAAAAGCATGTTGGGTCTTATGAGTCATGCAGTACGGCAGCGTTCAAGCATGGAAGAACGGAAACTGTAAGACCGTGCACTATCGAAACGGCAGTAAGTATTGATAACTCGACACAACTGAAAAGCATAGAAACTTGGACAATTTTAACATAATGTGTTTGTTAGGATTTTTGCCAAGCGGTTAGCTGTAAAAATAAGCCGGCCAACGATATACTAGTGGACATGATAAAAAAATGTTCAACTGAACACAGCAAGCTCGTTAAGGAAGGCGCTATGGGTACGAAAATGAAAAACTATTTTGTCACCATAAGAATATCATTTTTTACAAAAATAACACAATAAGAACTAATTTTGCCCTAAAATAATATTTACACACAGTTTTTTGATTATTTTCAGGGCAAGGTTTTGACCGACATCTATTTGCTTTGAAACTGTTGGCCGAACAGAACAATCTGGAAATACCCAAGTTATTCACAGATCCAGCGTACAAGTCAATCAACCATAACATACTATCCACATCCAGTCTTACATCAAACTATGTTTGGTTAGGAGGATTTGGACCTGTAGTGAAAAACGGTTATGGTATTGGGTACGTTTGTATATTATCATTAATTTTATTTATTTGCGTAATTGAGGTATACTCATTGATATCTTGTATTCCATAAAAACATAAGTAAAATTTTGTTCATAATTAATAATTATTTAATTAATATTGTTTAAATCATCTCACGATGGCAGTGTCTGTTAAGCTACATTATGATAATGATATTGTATACACTACACTGTATATATGATACTGTATCAACGATTCCTCAAATTTATATTTACTATTATCGTATTTCAGATATACAATACTTGAAAAATATTCCGGTGCCATCATTACCAACTACAGGGAACACACTGACGGCAATAAATTTAGAGAAGCACTGACTCAAAGTTTGAATCAGATTCTCAGTGTATTAAAAACAGGCAGTTAGGAAACTTTTTTCACATTATTCGTTTGTGAAACAACAAAATATTCACAAAAACGTATTCCTTGTGTATTATTACAAATATCAAGTAATTACTGTACTAGGTTTATTGTGGCTTTTTAGATTTTATTGTTTTTTTATTTTATTATATAAATTAAAATTGTGTTATGGGAATAGAGATTTAAAGAAAAAATATCACGTTTAAACGAACGTGGACTAAAATAATAATTATCTTATTTTTTAATTGTTTTTTCGTATTAATAATTTAAATATTTTACTTATGTGGTACTGTGATACTTTTAAACAATTATTGGAAACGGAATTAACCAAAATGTTTTACCTATTTTTGCCATATCAGTTTGATGAAAACAGTATTGTATTCATGTAGTATTATTATTAGAATATTATTTTTAATTTATGTAAATTATAAAATAGTATAATATGTAATTTTTTTCCAACATTGCATTTGTCGCTTGTGGTGAAACTAGATTTTTAAAAGTTAAAAAATCTTACTAGTTGCTGTTAATTTATTTATTATTAACACATTAGGAAAGTATTTTTTTCATCTTCCATTACCGAATATTATTGTAACATGTAATTTATTTTAGTTCCAAATAATTATTTTTATTGTTACACCATATTTAGATGTATATATGGATCAAATAAAGAAAATAAATCTTGTACATAATAATGCATTTTTCGATTAATTTTTACAAACTTACTTATATTTCATTACTGGTCTATATGAGTAATATGATGAAAAAAGGAATAAAATAATCTTGTTTGTCTAGTGCAAAATATTGTTTCTTTAGATATAGTCAAATAGAAATTACAATTTAATTGTTCGTTTTGGTATGTAGCTAAATAGGTGTTGTTTTTACAATAATATAATTTTGAATCTTTTTATCCACCACCGGAGTCCAAACTGTAATATTTCATGTATCAAGTCTATACACGTAATACTGAAACCGAAAAGGGACTTCTTGTCAGTATTTTCCAAAATTGAGTTAGTGCTACTTTCTAAATCTTGTTTGATCTTTATTCAATTTGAGACCTGATATAATAAATTTGTAGCTAAAGAAATTACTATGTTATTGCACTTTGCAAAAAGCCGACAAGAGGTCTTTTTTCCCCCGAAATCAATTTCTACAAATTTATGATGTTTTGGTGTTTTTTGGAAATCAACTTTACCGACAAAAGGTTCCTATTAGGTTTCCGCATCATCAATTTAGAAATCGTACTTAAAAGGTTCTTTACAAGGACAAAAATTAAAAATGTTTTCTGTTTAGATGAAATATTCGTATTAAGGTTATTATAATGTGTCCAGTGTCTCAATGATTGTATTAGGTACATAATATAAATATATATATGCGTTTATATACTATATATAAGCATATTTTAAATAATGTACTTCCGATATACAGTAAAAGTTATAAGCCGTTTCTTCAAAAAGGGGAGGACATTTTATTAAATTTCATTTTTAGGTGTATGTATTTAAGACGAGGTCTAAAAACTATACATCAGCTTTAGATGTCTAACGTGTATTATACAATATTAAGAAATACTAAGATATCCTAAACATAAATACATGTATTGTTTATAAAATGATTTATACTTTTGTTAACTCGTTTTTACTCGTTTTGCATTTGTATTATTTTTATTTATAAAGTGATTTTATAACTTTCCGTTATACTTAATAATATTTTTGGTCTCCTCAATTCCTGTAGCCTCCCCGACCCTGACTTTTTAAATATTATATTTATTATTTACGTATGTACAGCATTGGTTATTTGTGTTATTATTCCAGGGTTGATATTGTAGGTATTTTACCTAGCTGATTGATACACCTTTGGTACCGGGGCTTTATGGGCGTTTCGTCATTGCCCGCTCGCTTTTTGAGAATCGACCCGACGCACACTACTAAGCTTATTCACTCCTGGTACCCGAAGTAACTTTTGAATATTGTTTATTTAATGCGACGTTCACGCTGTCAGAACGAATGCGACCTTTTGTAGTACTACCAAACTCCACCGTACTCGATTTGGACGTAAAACGGGTAAGGCATACGCTTCATAGTATGCCGCTAAGATACCAGGAGAACATAGTACTCTACCGTCGTTATAGACTCGCCGGTAATCCGAAAAATTACAATTTTTACTCTTTTTCGTGCAGCAATTAATAGTCGAACAGACCTAACAATATAGCAAATTTCCTAAGACAATGCAAAGGCGGACCAAAGGTATTGAAATAAATTAACTAAAAGTTCATAGATAACAAAACCAAAAGTAACTATCGCTAAATAAAAATAAAAATAATGTAGGTTCAATATGCTTAATATTCTGTTGAGAGTGCCGTGCCGTACTGCGAAGTACCACGTGTTTTATAACAACTATTTTACTATAAAAAAATATGAGGATTTGTATGATTATAATTTTTGTTTTGATTAGGTCAGTTGGATATCAGTACACTACTTTTGTCGGATGCCATCGTTTTTTTCGCGCAAAGTAGGCGAACGGAACACCCGGCATGGCCTTCGAAATCTCCTTTGGTTTTAGGACTACTACTACTTTGTTGATGGGCGATGGAGGCGCACGAACGATACTGTCGATTTGCATATTGGAAGGTATTTTTTTTAAAGACATTTGTCTTGGGTTATTCATGGGCTCGGTCAACAATTTTGTCCATCGGCCTTCCTCGTCGAGTTTAAGCGGGATCTTTACTAATTTGTTTGTAACCGTCTTTTTGGGTAAATCATTCTTGACCACCACCGATAGTAGTGATTTGTTTTGACTCGACTCTTCGACATCCCTGTAATGGTGACAATAACAATTTGTTATTTGCCGAAACGATGGTCTTAGCGGCCCGGCATTACATTTTTATCGACCTTAATTATATAGATACACGAACATAGATTTTAAGCTAATAATACCGTATCGGGTATATAACAAAAGACTACTCCGACGACGAATGTCGTGAACATATGTCGGGATAGGGTTGTGCTTAGTCGAGATACTTCGATGAGCTTATTGCTAATAAACGCTAAAATTATATACTCGGTAGTGGTATTGTTCGTTTTATCTTTCATGTCTTCTGGGACTTCGGCGGGTTCAGCTAACGATGTGTCGAGATCTTCACCATCCGATTGGTCGAGATCTTGATCATTTGGTTCGGTGATCTCATAATCTTTTGATTCGTCGAGGACTTGATCTTTTGGTTCGGCGAAAACCCGAGCTTGCAGTTCGGCAAATAATGACGTCAAATTACTGCGGTTGAACAACATATGCGGTATTTAAAATAAAATATAAAAGCCACGTACTTTGCCATCGCAATTTGACGAGCCATCGTTACCCTCAGGACGCTTACCCTCTGGAAAACGCCTTTCGTATGTCGAAACGTCTTCTCTGTTCGGCACGATCCGATAAATTCGGACAGGATGCGGAAGCCTCTAGCACGCTTTTTAAACGGTAATTATCGTTGATGATTTTCACTGTTGGATCGTGGCTCGGAGGCTGCAATAGTTCAATAACGGCGGGGTCGGCCGGCAAAGACGGGAACAACACGTTAAAAAAATTATCCTCAGCGTTTCGTCTAAAATACAGTAAAGCTGTAAAGTGGCGATGTAACAAATAAAGGTATTCGAGCTGATTGCTAAACTTAATCTAGTGGCATCAAATCAAGCTCCACGCACATTAAGTACGGCAGTATAAATCTATAAGCGATTATCTAGTATCTAACGTAATAGCTACAAAGGCTATAAACGTGCCCAAGTGTGACACTATTGACGAAACGCCTCGAAAATTTTGATTAGTATGGGATTACGTTCTCTAAAAGCTAATAAACTAAACGGTGGCGATGGGAATGCATATAAAATACCGGATTAACCTGACGGAAACTGAATTTTACATTATTACATTTTACACTACAATTATTAGAAAAACCATTTCTTTGATCTCGCCCAACATCTGTTATACCATAAGTTATGCCCAGACAAGTCACAAGTATACACAAGGAATGTTTATCGATTCCGTTGGTTTGATTTGATACCACATAAAGGGTTAAACTATGTAAATCATAACATTTGCGTTTACTTGTCCTCCGTAGGATTTGTTAACTCCGTCGACGGTTTGGAATTTTGGTCAGCTGTCATCTGATTGCTAAAACTAGACACGTCATTACATTATAGTAATGCACGTATGGATAATTTGCAAGCTTGATCCGATCCACTGACTTCTAACCTACCTGTTGTTTTCGGTCAAATTTGATTGGCTTTTCAGGTTCTGAGACTCTTTCCACTCGTCTTCTAAATCTTTCGGCAGGACCGACCACTCTTGTTCCCTATTTATTTTTACTTCTTCATCAGGGTCATTCAACACTTTGACCACGATCACTCTGCTCGTCAAGTCATTATCAGTACGCTTAAATTTCGTCCTGTCCGAATCATTGGCCTTGGGCTTTGACTGAGGCGCCATCGGGCACTTGTCTCCACTACATGCCATCACAAACAATATCGTAAGCGCAGTTTAAGGGCAACCTATGGATTTTTTTTTGTCGAGTTTAATGCCGGCGGACTGAGCCGATAGAGGAGAGGATGATCGCATTCAGAATCACTAAGGGATTGGGTCATTTTAGGTTATAACAAAATAAATATAGATACGGGATGCTTTAAAAAGTATACAAATAAAGGTAGCATATTTCAATTAGTTTAGGCAGAAATTGGAATACGACCTTTGGAGGAAAACGGCGACGCCCTGTCGCATAGGAGACTCCCGTGATCAGCAATAATACTATATTATATCAAAGCAACTTAAGTATGAACCTAGTTGTAGTACTCATTTTTTACTTTTTCCTATATTCCATTATGCTCAGAAAACGTTTACTAGCACTTTTGTTTTTTTCACCCAAAAACAGCGATGAAATTGCGTGGTTAGTTTTCGTCGGTTTCTTGTAGATCTTAAACACAGGTTTCTGAACTACAAATACGGGGCGTTTTCGTTCACTTGGAGACAAATGCCTGATCTTGTGTCCTTTTATCAGACGGTCGACAGCGAGTGACGTGCTTCTCTTGTAAACGTCCGATACCCAAGTCCGGTCATCATTGTTGTTTCTAAAATACCCCGTTAAAAAGCAACAATAGGTACCGTCAATTTCATTCCATTACAGTTTAAATACACACGATTACACTATAGACAAGCGCTGCCAAATGACTTATGCAGTAATTATCGTAAGGTAATATAATCCTAAATTTGTTGATGTTTAGATGTGAGAACGGTAGATGTGTGGTAGTACAATCGCTACGCGGTATTTATGTTGTACCTACAGTAAATTGGTAGGTGAAAAAATGTTTTAAAAATCAAGGGTGTCAAGCTATGTTGATGGATTATTGTCACCGCCCGCCGACTTTACATTTACATATATAGTATAAATATTATACAGAGTGCTCACTGCTCAGTAAGTTCGGCAACGGGCAATTATTTATCGAGCCACTATTGATATTTTTAAAATTTTGACTTGCATGTTGATATTTATATGTACATTTAACACTTAAATACAAAATTATACCTTAAGTAGTTCGAATCTACTTCATCGGCGTGTTCGTTTTCTTGTGCGTTTGCCGGTTCAGGGTTTAAAATGATAACGCCCGTGGCGGGGTGCTTCAACACGTACTTCTTGCTTTTCGCATATGGAGACCACCTGATCGATATAAACGGATATAGTGTCATATAATATAAACTAATTGTTATGTTGTCTACTTGCCTAGCAGGTGGCCTACGAGCTATACGAGAATTTTACATCTCACAAGCTTTGTGTATATCAACACAATTCGATTCGTCGATCGATAAATTATTCATCGTGTTTGAGATACAATTATATTTTATTAATCATGCATAATATTTAAAAAAAGGAAAATTATAAAAATGTTTGATAAATATATGACTTGTTCTAGAGTGTTCTGCTAAATGACAACAAAAAATGTAAAGAGTAAAACACTAAGAATTCAAATCCCGCTTACGAGAAGAAAATGCCAAGCAGTGGTTCTGATGAGTATTTTTTGCATATGTGTAAATAACAATCTTGTTTCTAGTAAACGGTCACTTTGTACGGCCTATTGTTTGAAATGCAAAATGCAGACACTTTGTACGGTCGAGGATAAGTGTTACGTAATCAATATTCTTCGTTTTATTCGTTCGATCGTTTAAAAATATATACCTAGTTTATGGATGGTAAATTAAAATGTTCCGGTGTATTTGCCAAGTGTACGTTATACTAGCAGAATTTGAAGGAAATGTTAGAACATGTGTAGGTACACGTATTTCTTCCAAATAAATTGGAAAATAATTTTTAAGAAATGTTAACGAATTCTTTTTTTTTAAGCTTCGGCAACTTTAGCCATTAGCTGTTGTTTGGTTTTTGGATTTGGTTAGGAGTGTGTAAATGTGAAACACGTGTGATGGGATCATGGCATAGGTCTCCGCTAAAAATTTTGGGTACCTATCTGAGGATGACAGCTGAAGTGTCTACAGCGCCATATCATGCCCCTCTTTTAGTAATTATAACGAAGTCAATTAAATGGTTGTGTATTTTAACCGACTACTATAGCTAATGAAATGATTCGTTAAAGGCTGATGACTATTAATGAATCATTTCATCGGTCGGGTATCGGGTACACTTGATTTTTTCTTTTGTTTTTTACTTACATGTATATCCCTTTATGATTCTTGTGTTTTTTCGTTTTAACGTAATTATCTTTAAATCTATTCTGATTTATATACATCTGATCTATCAATTTGGTCGACAATGTCGCCGAATCGATGTAATCGTTGGCCGGAATTTGTTGTGTTACATCCGATTTATCTTTGTCGTCGACGTTGCTTTTATAGTCGTGATCGTTCAGATGGAAGGTTTTCCTACGCGAAAAAATAAATATAACTATACTTATTTAAAAATGAATACGTCAATACTAAAAGTCAACGGAAAAACATAATCGCATAAAACACTAGGTATACGTTTAACATTTCTAATTCATATTCACTTAATCTACTTTCGGGATACCTATCTAATTTGTTATTTGTCAGAGGGTAAACCACCGCCGGTAATATGTTTACACAATTTTATCTTTAGAAAACTCTAGTAATTTTTAGACTTTTTATATGATTTGGTGTATATTTTGAATAGTGATTTACCCTCTGAAATTTGTTGTCTAGAATGCCAAAAAAACAAATAGAACTTGACAACTTAAAGTTTGAACTGGAGCTTCCATAAAATATTTATAGCATAACACGTTCATTGAACATATTTTTCAAATAGATCATCGACAATGTCTTACCGTGGATGCTTATTTTCGTTATCGCCGCCGTGTTTTAACGATTTGGCTTTGATCCGCTTAGTGTTGGCCAAATTTTTCCTTTCCGGCCTTGAGTTTTCCCATTTGTCTTGGCACGACCGCCGATGCTGCTGTTTGTTGTCTACGACTTTACCTTTGTTTTTCCGCTCCCTGGGGATATCAAAGTAGAGAGTTATTAGACTCGTCGAACCCGCTGTTTACGATTCTCGTCGTACACGATCATGAAAACTCACTTTAGTTTAGGATTCACAGCACCTTTCTGACAATTATTCACGGTACCAATCTGCGCTTGCTTGTTACCGCCGACGCCTGACTTCCTACTCCTGTTTGTAAGACTCGACGTCTTTTTTATCAGGGGTCGTTTTGTGTATTTGTTATACATCAACTTGTTCGCCAATTTCGGAATATGTTTGGGCGGACAGCTACTGAAAGATGACTGAATAGAATAGCACACACTATAACCGATGTAATTAGATCAAATATTTCGATATCATGTGCTAGAAAAGGTTTCTTTTTTTTTTATAGCAAATAGCAAAGGTTTTTGTAATTTTTCCAATTACTTATTTATAAAACATTTTCAACAGGATGGTACTATGATACATAACATACCTACCGAGAACCAGAGCTAGAATTAACCGGATTTTTTATAAATCTTAAAAAACCTTTACTTCTTGGTTATTACCAAACATTTGCTATACTTGAACAAAAAATACAAGATGTATTTTTTTTAGGGTTTGGGTTTTTATGCCAACTATGATGTACGTATCGTCTATAGACTTATGTAGAAGCAAGTGCAAATACTTACATTGGTGACTAAGAGTAACTTTGACAACCATGTTGATGATCGCATAATTTTTAATGACATAGTACAATATTTAGGTAATATTAAATCAAAATTTAAAAATTAATATAATTTTAGATAAAAAAAAATGTGGCACGCGTGATTGTTTACTAACAACAAAAACTAAGATTTTAAATATTTTGGCCGGCTAATATTTATTTTACCATCGTAAACCAAAAGAAGAATTTAATAATGTGCTATAAGTTCCAAAATGTTGATTTGGACTTAAGTTATTCACTATTTTTGATATTGGTACAACCTGGTCGATACCACGTTCTCCCCCCCCAATTTTTTCCATCTATAAGAATTGGTTGTAGCACAATATTCCGAGATAAACTCAATTTTTCATAAAACATTTGTATTATTATATTCTTATACAATTCTATAAAATAAAATTATATTTAAAGTCAAATCTTTAGATAAATACAATTAAGTATAGGTAATCAATAGAAGTTTGGAATGAATTGCAAAATGATTCCAACTCCCCCGAAAATAATTTTAGGTATCTTATAAATATGTAAATTAAATTATGTATTTTTATTACAATATAAAATAACATTTATAGATTTGTTAAATAGTGTTTTGTACTTGACAATTCTGTAAATATTAGATTAATCAAGCAATACGAACAAATAAGTAAAAATAATGTTATTAACATTTTTCACACATCAAAAAATTAGTACAAATTTTACTAGAATCGATGTAGAGTATGCACATAAATATAGAGTATGTATTCAAAATGATTTTGCATGGTTATTCGAAAGCGTTTTTAGGGTTGAAACATTTTAACAAATAAGATATTCAATATTAATATACACATATTAATATTTACATTCCTGGTATAATTTTAATCTAATTTATGAATTACATAAGTAGTGGTATTCAACACGACTGATTTGTTTGTATTTTATCTTTTACTATTTTCATGTTACCTGTAAATTATACCACAAATTTAATTATATTAAATATCAAAATGAGCTGAACAAAAAACTCTCTACTTTAGTTGATAATATAACTATTTACTTTCTATAATGTTTAGCGTTTCGGTTAGACACATAGAATTATTGTAGTCTTTTCTGTTTCCGGGATTTATGTCCAAAGTGAAATCCGGTCCATACGACAAAAAATACTAAAAAAAATAAATACAAACTATTACTACTTTGGTGAACTGTTTTCACCAACTGATTTTTATCAACTAAGAACAGATTTATCCAAAAAAATATAGAAAGTAACACTAATAAAATACATCATAACAAATTAATATATGGTAACGCTCACTTCATGGTCTGGAATATCAGACGATAGAGCGTCTTCTTGTCCGATAATAACAGCAGTTAAATATGTCCAACATCGGGCTACATTTGCTACGTTGTAGCCACCTAGTAAAATAAAAATATTGTTATTCTTGTACAACAGTTCTTAGTAATATTTACAAGAATAATTACAAATAAGAATCAAAAGTATTTACCACCCCCAAGGAATAATATGGGCTTCTGCCATTTCATAACTGTTCTGATGCATTCGGCAAATGCTCTTGTAGTCAAATTAAATCCACCAATCGGGTCACTGACTAATCCATCGGCTCCACACTGGACTACGATACATTTTGGATTGTATGAATTGTTGACAACAGTGCTGATTCTGAAAAAAAAAATGTAAATTATTTTAAAAAGTTTTGTATAATATTAGGTACAACAAAAGACTTCAAAAATGAGTTGCAGGGGGACACATCTTTAGATAAAGAGCTAAGGAAAACATAAGGATCATAAAAAATTAAAAAGACACTTTGTAATGGCTTTTTACAGTTTTTTAGTCACTAGGTGGTTATTTTTAATTAATGTGAATAATATACAACTGCTTATATAGGTATTAGGTTCTATATTAAAATATATACTTTTTAAAAATAGATATGTAAATATCGTCAGTTATTCCTTCTTTTAGTGGTACGTTCACTGAGTAATATTTTCCTTTATCTGTACCAATGTCTTGAAACGAACCACTTGTAGGATAAAAACCAGGTTCAAACTGATGGAACGACAATGTGAGAACACGGTCAGTAGTCATGTATGCATATTCGACTCCGTTTCCTAATATATAACAAAACAAACATTTGAGGGTTAACAAATTTCATGAAATGTGCCATGATTAGGTTTACATAATGTACATCATATAAATAAATTATTTTTTAACAATTTCAGGTAATTCAAGTTAATGCATTTTTATAGATATAAATGAAAATTGAAATCAGTTTATAAAAAAATAGGGGTATTATATAAAATACTATATATTTTATTACCATGGTGTACATCAAGATCAATATAAAGTATTCTGCCAAAACATTTTCTTAATGTCTCTATTGCCAGTACTATATCATTTACATAGCAAAATCCTTCAGCTGAATCCCTTGAAAATAACAATATCGAATTAATAGTGATCATGATTTAAAAATGGTTTCATAAATCCATAAACGTAGAAGGTATATTATACTACTGTTATTATATACTGTATATGATTAGTATGAATTTAAACATTTTAGATATAATATATTTTAAAAAGATCTAACCTGAGTGCATGATGCCATCCGCCACACCAATTTATCGCATAGTTATATTTCATCGTTGTCAATGCTTTTGCTGCTGTAACCGAGGCGCCAGAAATATATGTAACAAATTTCCAAATGTCTTTCAGTATTGGACAGTCATAACCTAAAACAATCACCCATTATTATTACCCAGTATTTATAGTTATCAACTATTTTGTGAACATGAACACATATTAATTTAAAACCATTAGTATAAATAAATATTAATTTGTCAAAAGGGATCTGCATATACTTATAATATTTTTTTAGGAGAAACAAACAGCAATTGTTTAACTAATATAACAACATAAATATTCATTTCTATACATTACAAATAAAATAAGGGTTGTAGATCTTATAGTGCGACCAAGTTAAGAAGATGACCAGTCACGCAGGTTCCACCACGTAAGCTTGTTATAATTGTGCATTGTCGGGTAGTGATGGTGCTCTTTTGTTAGCCATTGAGCAGCAAGCTTACGAAGTTTGGTCTCTGGACCAGTCTTCTCCCTAACGTTGTCTTACTATAGAATCAAATACTCATTGCACTTATGATTGTGTTAAAACTTTGTGATTGAACTATTAGTTTCATTATTATCGTATCTATCTATGTTGTCATTGGTTAACTGAAATTTTGGATTTATTGCGGGGTCTATCTTCAGAGCGATAATTACCATTCCACTGTCGTGACTATACAAAAACGTTAACTATCTAATAACAGCATCGTTAAATCTGTTGATCAAACTAACACTTTCAACACATTTCAGTTTTTCAATAAAAACACAACCAAATAATACCATATAAAAATGTTACCATTTTTACCATAACAATTATACGTTAGGTACATTATTAATTATATTATACTTATAAATTGTCCAACCTAATCCAAATTCATTTTCTGCTTCCAAAGTGGAATCGTCGTTGTCATTCACCCGCTTTAAAAAATCTACATACGAGCTCGAATGAAACTGGGTAAGTTCTTCGTATAACAGCGGTTTTACTTTTTCTACATTCATATGATCGCACAGACAATATGCTCGGATAAGATCATCGACTAAATATGGCTGAAATAAAACAAAATATACAACTTCATGTTCAGAGATATTATTACACTATAAATAGTTTTTTACTCGATTTTTCAAGTTTGGTATTTTATTACACTCGAAAAGTAACTGTGGATCAGAAACGTAGAAAACTCTATAATCCATTTTTTATGTCGGAAACTAGAAAATTTTAAAACGCGTCCAGAGAATCTTTATCTTTTATCTAGAAAAACATATTTACCGAGTTACCACAAGCACATAATATAATGTACCTACCTAATGTCTACTCATTACAAACAATATTAAATCAAAATCTATAATTAACTAAAATCAATGAAAATTATTGTTTTACACTTAAACGTTCACATTAAATTACAAAAGTCAGACACCAATTCGGTTCGGTGATTTACTATTATTATTTAATATCAAGTAGAAGGGCTGTGCACAGTAAAGGCTAACGAGTGTGAAGTTAAACCATAAACGAGCCAGCAATATTTGATAACAGAAAGTGCCATAGCGTTGGTGTATGTTGTGTTGCCAATACACTAAATATTCTAAGGGGCAGTCCATATATCCACGTACACCGACGATTATTATTATACGATATCGACCTAATTAATTAAAATATATTCTAATTATCGACAAAACAGTAAGAGTATATTATTTAACTTAAAAAAATGGCACTTGGGATTTTGCGGCCGCCGAACCCAACCCAGCAATAAAAAAGCGGCCGAACGCCGACCGAAACTGGCGGCAGTTATGTCAATTTTTGACAATGTTCCGGAAGAGGTCCCCTCAATTTGATTATACAAATCAAAAGCTTACTAAAATGTCTAAAAATTCGTCTCTATGAAAAAAGTTGGCATCGGGGGTCTTGCGGCCACCAGAAGCCGCCGAACCCAACCCAGCAATAAAAAAACGGCCGACCGCCGACCGAAACCGGCGGCAGTTATGTCTACTGGTTTTTTTTAATGACTGTTAAATTTATTATTATAGTTTTATAATTTTTCAATATAATACAAATCATATTGTAACAAATTTACAGTCACGAAAAAACTATGTATGGAATATTTAATTTTTCAGGAAATAATTAATTATTAAAAAAAAAAATATTAGTTTGTTATTTAAAATAAATAATATTATTGACTACCTATATAAATATATTATTTTAAAATATACCATTTCCATTGAATTTTGCCAAAACAAACTAAGTGGTGGATATGTACCATATCCACCAGTTTTGGCGTGATTCATTTCGCAAAATTATGTTTTCATGAATCTAAATTTAAATTTACATATTAACAATTATCATAAATAAGTTCAGATTTCTTTATGCATTTTTAAAACTAGAAAAACTAGAAATCTAAAAAAACTAGAAGAATTGAAAAATAAGAAAAACCTGAAAAACTAGAAAAAATAGAAAAATTGAAAAATTTGAAAAATAAAAAATAAGACAAACCTGAAAAAACTAAAAAAACTAGAAATCTAAAAAAACTAGAAAAAATTGAAAAATTGAAAAAATTGAAAATTGAAAAAATAAAAAATAAGAAAAACCTAAAAAACTAGAAAAACTAGAAAAAACCTAAAAAACTAGAAAAACTAGAAAAACCTGAAAAACTAGAAATCTAAAAAACTAGAAAAATGAAAAATGAAAAAAAGAAAAAACTAGAAAAACTAGAAAAACTAGAAAAACTAGAAATCTAGAAAAATAAGAAAAAATTGAAAAATTGAAAAATTATGAAAAACCTAAAAAACTAGAAAAACTAGAAATCTAGAAAAACTAGAAAAAATTGAAAAATAAGAAAAACCTGAAAAACCTAGAAAAACTAGAAAAACTAGAAAAACTAGAAAAACTTGAAATCTAGAAAAACTAGAAAAATTGAAAATTTGAAAAAATTGAAAAATAAGAAAAAATAGAAAAAAAGGAATACCCGGTGCCAACTTTTTTCATAGAAACGAGTTTATAGACATTTAAGTAAGCTTTCGGTTGGTATAATCAAATTGAGGGGACCTCTTCCGGAACATTGTCAAAAATTGACATAACTGCCGCCGGTTTCGGTTGGCGGTCGGCCGCTTTTTTATTGCTGGATTGGGTTCGGCGGCTTCTGGTGGCCGCAAGACCCCCGATGCCAACTTTTTTCATAGAAACGAATTCTTAGACATTTTAGTAAGCTTTCGATTGGTATAATCTAATTGATGGGACCTCTTCCGGAACGTTGTCAAAAGTTGACATAACTGCCGCCGGTTTCGGTCGGCGGTCGGTCGCTTTTTTATTGCTGGGTTGGGTTCGGCGGCCGCCAAACCCCAAGTGCCATTTTTTTAAGTTAAATAATATACTCTTACTGTTTTGTCGATAATTATAATATATTTTAATTAATTAAGTCGATATCGTATAATAATAATCGTCGGTGTATGGGGATATATGGACTGCCCCTTAGAATAATAAGTGTATTGGCAACACAACATACACCAACGCCATGACACTTTCTGTTATCAAATATTGCTGGCTCGTTTATGGCTAACTTCACACTCGTAAAATATAATATATTTTAACACGGTTGTTTTTTTTTTGTCATTTGAATTATTGCCGTTTGGTTCTAGAGATAACAGTTAACTCTGATAAACGTTAGTTATATTTTAGTTACTTTTATTCTGATAGAATTGGCAGGCTGATAGAATGTGATTTTATATTTTGGTGTTTCTGGGTTGGTCACGCTGATAAAATAAAAATTGTGTTATCTTTTGGAAGAACTCTTATCTCTTATCATTTTTTGGAAGAACTGCCCCAAACACTGCCGCGGCTGCCGCTACGTTATCAAAAGGCCATTACTTGTTCTAGTGATTACTGGCAGTGGCGGCGGTGGTTTTGATAACAAGTGTCTAATGTTATTGTTTTTAATTATTCTAACATCAACAGATTATAAAACTGCGGTCTAGCGCGTGGGCGCTTGCATGTAAATAATCTGTACGGAACCGTAAGGAGAAGGCGGCGAAAGTCAGTGTCGGTCGGGACTCCGTTTGTCTTTGTTTGTTGTGTAGCTAGTGGCCTGTCGCTCTAGGTATCTTCCTAGTTTTGATACCATTTTGTTATAATATGATTAGTAGTAATCGTTTAAACGCGTCCAATATGGAATCCGTAGTTTGCAAAACGAGTAAGTTGATCAAACTTCACTTAATAATATGATGTGTAACGAAAAAATATTGTATTTTTAATAACGAGTCATTGTTAAAAAAAAAATATATATATATATATATATATATATTATATCAAGTGACGTGCAATTAATCTTGTTCTCGACTCGAGAAATTGTCCCATAGTAGTCCCACCTAATTAATGAGGCAACAAATCATCATAGTTTTTTCCTCCTATCACTTAGTTCAGTTCAGTTAGTTCTTTTACAACTAGTATATTGTATTGCATAGGCAATTATTAAAACATAAAATATATACAGTGTGGCCCTAATAATCGTCAAAATTGTTCCCTTATTTTAATTAACTAGTTAAAATTTGTCAACTATAATTTTATTTTCCGTTTCTTGTAATGTGTATACTCTGCATCAAATTGTATCTAATAATTTAAATAATACTATCAAGTTTTCAAATTTTGTCATGTCGCCATCACCGTACTGTTTGTGCTGTAAGGCAATACGTTATTAAGTATATTTCTTCTTCTTCTTCAGCTTTTACAGGCCATTAAGGCCCATCACTGCTCCACATAGCCTTCTCCATTCCTCTCTATCGTTTGCCAGTTCCTCCGGGTTATCAACCCCTAGTATCTGAAAATTCTGGTTGGGCTCGTCTATCCACCTTTTCTTTGGTCTGCCCAGTGGTCTCTTGCCTTCTGGTTTCCAATTAAGCACATCCTTCATTATGCCACTGGACCTCCATACGTGTCCAAGCCAGCTCATTTTTCTTCCTTTGAGTGCTTGTATAATGTCTTCTTCTACCCACAGGTCTTTAATTTCCTTATTGGATCTTATTTCATATTCACCTGTTTGATCATTTTTTTTAAGACCAAAAATGCGCCGTAGGAATTTTCTTTCTAGAACTGCCAGTTTTCTTTCATCCTCTTTTGACGTTGGCCATGTTTCGCATGCGTATAGAATTACTGGTCTTACTAAAACCTTATATAATCACATTTTTTATTTTTTTGATAATATCTTAGATCTAAAGGTTTTCTGTAGCGCGAAATAACACCTGTTTCCAGCTTTTATTCTTAGTTTTATTTCCTCGTGGTAATTATTGTGGCTATTTATATCAACTCCCAGATATTTAAAGCTTTCTACTTTTTCAAAACAATAATTTTCTATCTCCAGACTTCTATTTTGGTCTAATTGATTACCTCTCGTAACTACCATATATTTAGTTTTCCCTTCATTTATTACCAACCCCATATTCAGCGCTCTGGTTATCAGCTCCCTCGTAGTGTTTTTCACGTCCTCTTCATTTGACCCAAGTATCACTACATCATCAGCGTAGGCTAGTAATGTATGCACTTTTCCATTGAAATTAACACCATTCGCTGTTTCTTGAACCTTCCTACTTCCTTGTTTTAAACCTACTGTTGCCTCGAATTCTTCGAATTCTATTAAATATATTTGCAGTCATTTAACTGTACATAACATTCCCTTAATTAAACACAATAAAATTAAATATAATTTTACTCTACTATAAATCAAATGTTAAGAAACATACCTGACAATAATTATTACTATAATAAAAACCAGTAGGTCTTGTAGGGACATAGAGTATTTGGAGATGGGAGAGGACTTATTTACTTATTTTAAAATTAATAAATAAAAAATCATTATTGTAAAATATAACCGTCTCGGCTCTGAATCAAACTTTAATATATTTAATGTAAACAAATTAAATTAAATCTATTACATAGATTTTATATTAAATACATTTTTTCTTTGAATAAAACATTATTTTTTCGTCAGTGTTTGTTTTTTAGTTCAAATAATAAACAATTGCCATATCTGTCATAATATTATGATTCATAATATAGAAAGTACCCACCTACAGCTGCAGTATAGCTGTTACAATTATGTAGAAAGTAGATCCAACAGTGCATATCACGCTTGCACAATAGTGATATGAAATTAGACAGAATAAAACAATGTAACGATGATAGTGTTATTAAAAAACACTGAGTTAGATATTTGTTTCTCTTTTTGTTTTGATATTTTTATGGTTGGAGGTTCCAATTACCTATACATTTTGTACTTAATTGTGGTTAAACAATATTGTTAAATGTATACAACGTTTTAAATTACACTTAACATTTGTATCCTTCTGTTTACATATTACCTTACACAAGATATCTTGTTATAACTAACAATGACTTATGTTTAAATTTATAATAATTCTTAATCATATTCTTTTTTATTTACAGGAAAAACTTTATCAAATTACTCAACATCAGCAAGAGTATTCTGTTAAAAATTTCTGTTCCACCTACTTTTCAAAACTATTGTTTTAACAATAATAACAGCAGTTATTATATTGACTTAATAAACGTAAGTATATTATCTAAATATTTTATTAGGAAAAATTAATTGGGAAAGATAAATGGAAGTACCTACTGTTAAACAGTGTTACTGCGTAACACGACTTAACACTGATGTTACAACATTAGTTTGAGTAATTACTATTGTGTTTTTTATTCATTCGTAGAACCTATCTTAAAGTAATGCATAACATCGTAATCAAGAATGAAGAATACAATTTTTTTTCTTTCTATAATTGCATTATTAATATAAATTTCTGAAGTATTAAAATTTGTTTTATAAATATAATTTTTTTTATTCTATTTTTATAGCACAATCAACATGCAAGAACCCGAGGTGGATTGGCTCATGTTGGTTGCAATTGCTGTGATCTCAGGTTGTATCGTACTCGGTATAATGTTTGTGATTTGCTGTTTCTGGTCCAAATGTTTATTGTTTGATTGTTGCCGGCCCAAGTACAATAATACGTTTATCATATCTTACGGTAATTATTTCAGATTGACAAATTGAAATTACTTTAAATGTACATTGAACAAGAATATGCTGACAAATTTGTATACACTTTGGATAGATGGATTTTGAGTTCTTAGAGCATTTAACTAATGATTTTTGATTTAATAATTGTATTGTGTAAAAAAAAAAAATATTAAACACTTATTTAAATACTGTTAGTTGAAATAAATATCCCAAAATATCTTGTTGGTATTTATTCAGTATCTTACATTTTTAGTTTTCTACTTATTATATATACATTTTTTTTTTTTTTTTTATCAAAACTAATAAAACCGTTTTATCAGTAGCCAAATACAAAAACATACAACTTACACCTATTAAGCTTTTATATTTTTTACTCAAAGACTACTTAAAATCCAATTTTATATATGATTTTATAACTAAGGAGAAGGAAGAGGAGTGCTCAAGGTGTCAGTGGGTTTGGCGCTTACTGTCCCCTGATCAAAACTTACAAGCGCTTTGTTTGCCAGGCGAGAAATCACCTGGCTAAAAGGAGTCTCCATCCTCCTCTCCGGCTATGGACTGACAACCCATCCCGGATAGCTAATTTGTCTAGAAACCATCTCATGATGGCAGTGTAGGGCTTTCAAAGTCCATTTAACTACATGATTATGATAATGATTACCTAATATTATACATTTTGTTATGCCAATAAAATTGTGTTTCTGTTTTTTTTTTTTAGATAAACCAGAAGAAGCATTGAATTTACCACCTGAAGACGTAAACAACTCTACGTGTTACTCGCCAGTACGCATGAAAGTAACCAAGACTTATGATTATTAAATGCGTACAAGTCTTATCTTATAAATTAATTTAAAGGTAAATATTTTACTGCTGAGATAAAAATAATGCATTTTAGTACACGCCTAAACATTAACCCTTAACATGGCAGAGCAAGTTTTAAAAATAAAAATAAAAGTATAATAACTTACTTTTGGTTTATCATGGTCGAGAACAATAAAAATCTTATATATTATCAGTTATATAATGTCAAGTTAAGTGTTAAAATCGCTAAAATAATTTATAGAACTCTACACCAAAAATGTAAGTGTCGTTTATCACCTAAATATATTTTTCTCAAGAAAAATCGCTCATTTTTTCAAACTTGATCGCACAATTTTTATTCAACATCTAGCTTAAAATTAAAAGTCAAATTAAAACAATTTGTTTGGTTCTTTTATAAAACTATGAAAATATATACATTAATAACTTTTAAAAAATAATATATTTATTTAAAGACAATATAATGTAATCATAAAAAATATTTTTTTGAATTGATAATTAATTTTTATCAAGTAGCTAAATGGTACATAAATCTCAAGCGAATTTGTTTAAACATTTAGAAACACAATTTTACAAAATTTCGGGTAGGTTTTGTCCAAAAGATGAAACCAACATTATCCGATAGGTTTTTTTACAAGGAATACAAATCTGCCTTCAAAATTGTCCTAACACGTCAAATACCTGAGAAAAAAACTGAAAAAATATCTAAGCCTGATATATCAAAAAAAATGTTTCCATTAAATTGAACCATGATAAAAAAAATGAGAAAAAATAATGTCTCATAAAAATTATAGCATAATACATTTATAGTTTCAAACCCTGAAAATACTAAAAAACAGTGCTGTAAATTATGATAAAATATATAATTCAATTTTTTTTTTTTTTTACAGTAGAAAAAAATACAGCATTCATATTCTAAGTTGACTTACTACAAAAAGCATTAACAAAAATGTTCCTAATATCTTCTTTATAACTGACCCTACCAAACTAGTAAGAAAATGTTTTATATTATAATACATATTGAATTAGCTACTATATTCTATGGTGTCAATTAATTTGTTTAAAATTAATTTTCTAGGTTTTGAATATTTGCTTTCTTCGCCTATCAATATGTGTAAACATTGGACAGACCAGTTTAATGTGTTAAGTTATATATATGTATATATATTTGCTGTGCTATGATCTCCTTTAACCTAACCTACATAACGTGGCCAAACTCAAAACGACCAACAAACAGATTCAATGTGATAATTTCAAAGCTTTGGTCGTTACTTGAGAAAATTTCAAAGTGCAATTTTTGTTTGTCAATATATTCTATACTTAATTATAATTAATATGTTTAAGAACGAAATCTGCCCTCAAAAACAAAAGTATTACCTAATTACTTAAGTAGTACTTATAATTACTTTATAATTCATTATGTATACTTGTTTAGTGAACTCAATTAATCTTTTTGTAGAAGTTTATTTTATAACTTCATATGACATCGATTATTTGTAGTTAACTATCTAGTATTAAGTATTTTTATAATCAAATTTAATAATTTACATAGTTGACGGGTTTTTATAGGTATTCTTCTGCATAATTTTGATAGTGTAAAACCTACAGTATACATATGCAATTAATATAAGGGTGATGGCGTTCGTTATTAATTTCAAAAACATTGTATATTAAATACCTTCTAATATATTTTAACCTCCCGTTATTGCTAATAATTTAAATAACTTCAGAGTAATTTTTAAAAAATGATCAATTTGTTTTATGTATTAATATCCTATTCAAATGGTATACTAAATTGTTCTCAAAATGGTATTACAGCTTTTTTTATTTTTCAAATTTGCTTCCTTAAATAATTAACTATACCTATTTTATTATTAGACTTTTGATAAGTTTTTGTGTGATCAATGTAATTTCTTTTGCTTTACTGAATTGTGATAAAATAAACTAATTAATTATGCAAAATTGAATTTTATTGTAATAATGTAAAATAGTTATGAGAAATAATTACTTGAGTAGTTCACTCAAGTAATTTTCAAACTTCATAGCCAATGGTGGTATTTCTACAGTTCTGTAAACAATATTATTTTAATATTTTTAACAGGCATTCATAGTATACAATGTTCATTATACCTTAGTTTATGATAGATAGTTATGCAAAGTGCCTGCTTGTTTAGAAGGCTAATCTAAATATTATAATATAATCGGCTGTCGATTGTATTAATTACTAGATCCTAGAAAAAATGTATAGACCATGTCTATACGGAAATAAACTAAAGTCTCACTTTTAAATTTACTATATCACCGCTAACGACAGGTGGTCTTACTGTCAAATAAATAAATCTCGAGTATTTAATTTAAAAGCAAAGACTAAGTATATAATATTACACCTTAGTATATATATTTATTACACTTCCATCTGGATCCTAAAGCGTTCTCTGTAGTTAATCAGGGAATGGCGTAGTTGATGAACGGACACACGCGAGTGGGTGAAGTTAAAAAAAGAAATAAAATAATTAAGTAACACAAAATAATGGTCATATAGATTAATTAGGTCGCCGTCCGAAGATGGTAGAATGTCAACTAATTGGTCATTGGTTCCCCGGCTCATTGTCCCGTGTGTCCGCGTGTCGGCTTACACGCTAATCAGAATAAAATGCTAATAATGCATGTTTGGAGGCGAGTGTTAAAATGTGACCGTAACAGTTAACTGACGGTAGTTACACATGACCACTAACCAGGGCCTTGCTAGGAACTAGAAAGAGGACTCTTGCCAGAGGCACAATAATACCAAAAACAGCATTTTGGGAATAAAAGAAAAATAAGCATTTTAAAAAATATATATAAATACCTATACGAATGAGTAATATATATTAAGTGGCGCATAATATTACCTTAATATTTTTATTGATATAAAATGAAAAATTGTATGTAAATCAAAACCGATAACATTATTAAAAAAATGAAAACACCGTTGTCAGTTGTGTGAATTGAAGTAAAACAAAACTACGTTATTATCTGATTATTATTTATTTATAATGTCAAACCATTGACGTAGCAAAAAGTATAACGGTTTGATTAAATCTTTGGAAGAAATAAAGAAAAACGACTTTATTAATGAACAGTGTACTTGATAAGTGACTGATTTCGGTTAAGGTTTAAAGCGTCTTGTTGCGCAGATTAAATAATATATAGTTTTTTCAATCGTCGTTTGTATTCAAATGTTTTTAGGGCTTAACAGTACTTTGAAAACAATTGGATGTAAGTTATTTACTTTTTCTTTAATTAGTTAAAATGTATCAGGCTTACATTCCTAATGTTTATCTTAATTATTTGAGTTTTGGAACAAGATGCGAACTGTAAAATAATTAGAGAAGGGAGATAACGGGAATTACGTAAGCTTGCTGAAATACATGAACTGCGAAATGCCATTCACTCTCTTTTTGGTCTACTTCTAAATCTCTACACATACAGATTGATCAATTTAACTGTAAGACACTCATTTTCTCGGAAAACAATTACAACAAAGTATTGCGAAATAACATAAGCTAAAGGACCTATCTCCAAAAAGAAAAACTACAAAATTGTATTTGTGTTAAAAGAAAAGTCTTACGTTAAATCACCTTGTATAAATCTTGTCCGTTGTATTGTTTTTTTTTCAACTTGGTCAATCCATCTTAGTCAATTATTCTTATTATCTCTAACTACTTATTAATAACTCTAAATTGTCTATACACTCTCATCCATTGAAAATACACCGCATTCGCAAACGATAGTCCCCATGGTGTCTGTATATTTATTTATGTCATTTCTAAAGAAACTAGTACCTATGGGCTTAAGTATGTTCCTTAGATGAAATCGCATACTCCCTGAGCAATTTTTTCTTTGGTTTTATATTTTATTAACTTTTTTTTTCTTCATAATTAATACACATATTACCTTTACTATATTTACACGCATTTTCGGGACTATTTCCTTCTACGGGAATCTTCCGATGTCACAAACCCAAATTTGACTCCACCGAAATTAAAAAAAAATTTTTTTAGATGTTAAGTTATTGATCTAGGCCAGTTAAGTCCACGTACTTATTACAGCCGGCACTAAATCTAAATCTCTTTGACAAACTATGTGTTAATATACATTTTAAACAATCGTTTATGATTTCCAGCGAGACGGTGCTGTTGTTGGTTTTTTTACCTGTCAACCAAAATTTGTAATAAAAAAAATGGCCGGATCGTCGGGAGAGAGAATATATTTTTTGGATATCATCGTAAAGGCAGTGTCATACACGGACACAGACGCGGAAAATGGTCCGGCAGCCATATTGATGCGGTTCTTGGACTTTTCGGAACAGACTTTGGCCGAGGAAATCGCGGCGCCCATATGTCCCGGAGAACCGGTGCCCGTGCACGAGGGCAAAACATTTACGTTTGCCACAAAGGCGGAAAGCGTCGCGGCCAACCTAAATCGCCCATTGACTATCCGTCTGATCAGGTTGTTGGGCGAGGACACGTTGCCGAGCGTGGAAGAAGCAGGCACGGGCGTGGTAGACGCGCCGGAGTTAATGCCCGTGCTGCAAGGTCTGGAAGGTGGTCCGGTCCAAGTTGAGTTGGATGTGAACGTGCTATTGAACGACGGCAAGACGGTGGCCGTCATGTCCGTTATGGTGAGGTTGTTGGGCACAGGTGCCGTGTTTGCTAAATCGTTGAAGATAACGCGCAACGACCAGTCTAAAGTTCAACAGGCGTGCGCTTCTGGGCCGGAAGAATCGGTGGGACGGACGGCGACTACAATCGAAAGCTGTAAGAAGAAAAAAAATAACAAATCCTGCAAGCGATCGTGTCAGGCAGGTTGCGAGGCGTCTACCGCGGTTCAGCATACAAAACCGGTAGATCAATACACGACCATCAGCTGTGAACTCAATGGCCAAAAAATTGACTTGCGCGTAAGGAAGAAGAACCCAGAAACTTGCAGGGTAGAGCGAAGAGCCATGATGAAAGCGGAAGATTTTAATAGAAAAGTACTGGAAATGGCCAAGA